GTTAAAGGGCAAGGATAGCTTTTGTACTGGCGAAGAGGCGACGCGCGTCCTGCTGAGATGGACGCCACGTGTGACTGTACTACCTAATCAGTTTTCCCGTCCCTTCGATAACCTTCTAGTTCCAAGCTCCAAAAATGAAACTTTACCAATTTTATCTGACGACAAATGAAACATTGAAATATAGAGAGATTCAGAGCTTTGTCTGATCATGAAGTCTGCGGATACCGTAAGTACTCCCGGTATGTAGTAGTATATACATACATATGGGACATCGTATGAAAATTGTAAGCTTTTTGGGGTGAGTAGTACTAAGTACTACTGGAAAATGTACAACAGCCACTGCCATGTCGAAGAAAGTCTCGCGTTACATACTATGTATATTGTTTATAGAAAGACGAAATAAAACAGTTCTGCGCACCTGGACCAGATACCCAAAGCTGCACTCTGGGATGGATAGAGGAATCCAAGAAATGCAGCATATTATGCTGTCTGGGCCATATGCATGGACTGACAGCAAGCACGGTGGTCCACACGGACTCGGGGATTACCGTGACTTAACGCACTACTTCATTTTTGAGTGCATGCATGCAGGCTTCTCTTTCCTGCTTCCGCACCTCTGCAAATATACACACCAACTCTGCTACATCCTCCCACCGTTTTCGATACTCTTGAACGCTTCCACCAGGGCACCGCACCTCTCCTGTCCAAGATAACGTTTCTCGGAGGTTGGGCACGATAGCAGACAGAAACGCTGCAACTTCGGCTGTTTTCGTAATCGGCGAATTGGAAAAATTGATGAAGGTAATGAGCTTATTGCTGATGCTGCTCATCGGAGGCGCAGGAGGTGCCTTGGTATCGATGATTGCATTCACGGAAAGGGCGAGCTGATATAGTTCGGGGCAATGTTCCAGGAGTAGAACAAGCCCAGTGAGATCTACTCGTGGAACACGATACAACCCTGCTTTCTGATGCAGGATGAGAACCCGCAACTGCGGCCACGCAATGGCGAGTTTTTGTAACCTGGCGTTATCCAGTTCTGGGAGGATAGCTCCGATGAGCTCCAGTATCAACAGATTCTTGAAGCTCAAAAGCGGCTTCAGTGAAAAGGGATTTGTGATAGGGTCGTCGTCTGGATGAGGAGAGGCGGTGTGCAGGGAAATGCACTTCAGTGACTCGTGCGCAAGCTGCAAGGGAAGCAGTTCCAGAAGCACCTTGCGTCCAGCGGGATCATACCCCGCATCCATCCGATGGTGGAAACAGCGTATGTTCCAGTTGGTCGCCTTGAGTATGGAGAGGCACGGACCGATAGATTTAGTATTGATTGTCAGATAGCGAAGTTTGCTAAATGGAAACCTTGGAAAGGTAAGTGCGGATGGGATATCGTCTCCAAGCCAAACAGTCAAGCGGCTCAACAATGGAAATTGCGCCAAGTGATGAAGAGCTCTGACTGAGACCTCTCCACACGCGAGAGATCTCAAAGCAGAAAGTTTGCATATCGCATCTTCTGTGACATTTGCACTGATAGCAACTTTATGACTTTGGATGACTAGGTGCCTAAGCGAGGTGCATCCGAGATCGGAAAATGTAGCAAGAGCATATTCCGATACGATAAGCTGCGCTGCCGCGAGGTTGTGGCAGAAGATCAGACGCATGAAAGCGATCATGTCATCGAGTCCAGCTGCAGAACGGGTGCTGAGACAGTGCCAAGTGAATGTACGAAGGTTGGGTAGAAGAAACGAGGGATTAGGGGGCGACAAAAGGGCGCGATAAAGCTTGGCATCGCTCGCGAACCATCTAAGCCGTAGGCTACGAACCCGGCGAGAATAGCCTGCAAAGACTTCCCAATCCTGGGGGCGCAGGGGTCCTCGGATGACCTAGACACCGTAGCTAGTTAGAAGAGTTCTCAGAATCTTCATTTGAACATTCACCATTTCACCGGAGCCGGTTGACCACAAATCATGGGGTAAACGCTCAATTAACGGCTGCAGCCCCGGAAGATCTGAGTAGATTACGTTCAGCGCGGGCTCGTAAAACAATCGGCATGTCCTGGCGAGAATCGTCAATGTCCTATAGTCAGCATTTTTGAAGATTTCTTGCAAAATTTCTTCGAGGTGCAGACACCGGTGCATGAGTGGGTTTAGCGCTCACTAGGGACTGACTCAACCAAGAGAGATGTGACAACGAGAACAGCCTTCCAGCGCTACTACCTTGCATATATATACCCGCAATCCAGGCAAATACTGTACCGATTCTAAATTCAGAGTCAGAGTCTGGTCACTTCTTCCAGTAAATTTCTCGACGTATGTAACCTCAATCCAAACGCAAATCACGAAGTCCTTCTCTGCAAAGCCTTCCATCCCTTCCTGAGACCCAAATTTTCAATGATACCAGCAGGCATGCAATACACTGGGTCAAGGTCCACTAGTGCCGGGTATCCCAATAATGAAAGACCTGTCGAAAAGATGGTTCTGAGGTTGGTTCTGAGATTGGACCATCTTACGCACCGGCCAAGCCAAAATTTGTATGGAAGACATCAGGCATATCGCCCGGGCGGTCGGCAATACCTCCTGAGTCGGTGTCTTGCGCAGAGAGGATGAAAGCCTCGAGTTTACTAGAGTCTATCCATGAGAGTTTGCCAAGGATAGAAAGGGCGGATAGCACCCAGAAGCTGTAGCAAACCTGTAAACAGAGAATCAGGAACACTGCAGAGCAGTCATGTGTACCGAAACTCACATCTTCCAGCTTTTCAGGGCGCCCGTTAAGTCCTCCATTCGGTAGTTGTCGCTCTGATAACCACCAACACAGGGTCGGCTGATCGACCTCATCCAATCTGTCCAGAATAGCGAGTGCCGCAACGCAAACAAACACTATGGCGCTCCAGCGTTCCGAAGTTACATGTGTGTTGGAATGCTCACCTTGTGCAGCATGACTTTCCGCACCCGCAACGGCTCCAAATCCACCATCAAAATTCCTGCAACGCCTGATATATGCGACCGTTTTCTCGACGTCCAACTCATCAAGCTTTCCGAGAAGCGAGAGAGCATTGACCGCACAATACAAAAAGCGTGTATCAGTTTCGCCAAAGGCGTCACCCGCAAAAACTCCAGAAGGTTGCTGCAAAGATAAGATGACTGAGCCATGTCAGTGATGTCAAACCATTCGATAATAGATAAACAATGCACATTTCACAACGCGGTCAACATCGACTCTATTGAGCGCATTCTGCATCAACAAAATTTGTATTGCGCTGAGAGTAGAAAGCAGGTGTGCGTCATGATCAGGATGAGCGCCAAAAGCGCCTGCGGAATGTGAGCTCGAGATGGCATGGATCTCTTGATAGGAACAAACCTGCCTCTTCATCCCAGCAGCTCATAACGAAGTCTATCATCTCATCACGGTCCAACGCATCCTCGTGTCCCATGATAAAAAGAGCAGCCAAGCCCCAGTACACCGCGTTCATCCTTAGGTGAGCCGAGAGGTGATATGACAGTTCATTTTTGCTCTGCTTGAAGACTTAGAGATCAGTTCATTGAGTAAGAGTTAAAGAACCAACATCTCCAAGAGCTCTGATATATGCAACATGTAGGGGAACGAGCAGATCAGAAGTGGACATTACGAAACTGGCATATATTATTCTATCGAAAGAAGTTTATGATCATAGACCTTTATGTAATCGAGCTCCGCCGTGCACCTTTGTTTTCCTTAAACCAAAAGACATGCTATACTAGCTAATCGACAAGCTCTTCTCCTGATTTCTGCGTCTTCTTATATACTACCATCTCTCCGTCACCATATATCCAATCTTACCAATCTCTCGTCTTCAATTTGCAGGAATATCATGGTGTGGCATCAGCAAATTTTCATCGAAATCTCGCAACAGTTGAATATTGTCACAGCCGCGACCGCGTAACGGGGCAACACAGACGTTGAATGGTGTGAGTCCACCACTGGTAGGATGTGTTGCAATATCTATACTAAAGTCGCTGATCGTCCGGCCTTGTGAATGTGACCTATAGTCTGAACGAATATGCTGGCGTGACAGGCAGCTGTCTCCTCCTTATCGTTTTTGGCTCTTTCCTGTGAACAATCGTAAATGTGCGTTCCACTAGCAGCGGAAGTAGCGGTAAGATAATATTAATTTCTCTAGTCTTTCGAGTTGAATCTTCTCAGTCATGTTAATTGGTCACGTTTTCAAGCATACATTACGTTGGCAACAGCCGACCCTACATTTATAGAGGTTGGCTCGGGGAACACTAATTTGCCACTGTTACTAGCTACTAGCTGGGACAACAACGTACTTATCAGTTGCGATGTAAGCTCTAGCCCCATCAGATTGGATCTTTGTTCAGAGTCCTCGAATTCTACCAACACCAGGTTTGTTCAACAGGAGGCCCCATCTCCAGATTCTCCACTTACATTTTGCACTCCAGACGAGCTCAATTGAGTCCTGAATCATTACACCTTTGTGCGATTCATCAATACTGTTTCGCGCTCGTCAAGTACGATCTCTGTTATTTTTCTGTGAGCTCCATTCAATGGCCATGTCCAGATCGGTTTCTATATATGACCATGACTTGTATTGCTGTCGTTAATCCGAGTTTGTTTGATAGTGCAGCCCTCGTCATGCTTTTCACGACGCCTCCCTACTTCTCCGCCGCCACTGCATATCGCTTTGATAGGCTTAGAGGACGGCCTATGTATCATATACTGTGCGTATAGAGTTGAGTTCCGTTTCTCTGACACACTTGTCTGTGCCATGATTGTATTCTGGTGTTACGAAAACAGCTTCATTCCGAGGGGTATCGCAAAATCAGTAGTAACAAGTATACTGTCCACGCCCAGAATCCAGTAGTATCGTCACTCGTATAACATTTGCTTGAACTTAAGCCGACCACGTGCCTTCGCTGACTCGAATCATATTGTACAAATTTGTATTTCTAGCTTGACTCCCGTCGCGATGTTTTGTGTATAATCACCACAAAGGATTCTGCAAAAATGACTCAGATTCGTGCAAAGATCTTGCCAAAGCACATGTCAATCTATCATTCAAATAGTCCGATGAACAGTAAAGAATGTCACTGTCGACGAAGTTTGGTATCAAGTACATGTACAATGAACAGTCTCCCTGAGGATTACCGTCGTGTCTAAAAAGAATGCGTGACAACAGAAAGAACTTGTGATGTCAACGAGAATATATGTATCATTCTATGGAATGAACCTCATTGCCAGCATGCTTAAAGGAATATTACTGATAAAAAGGAGAACATGGAATAAAGGAGTGGTCGATAACCTGTAGGGATCGATATGGGCACACTTGAACTGGTGCTGTTTGAATTGTTGTCCGAGGTGCTGCTCGAGGTGCTATTCGAGGTACTATTCGAGGTGCTGTTCGTGTATGGAGCACACACGTTTGGATCGTGGAACGCCGCGGGGTCCTGGGTAAAGAACCCGAGTTCCAACCCCTCAAGGTATGACCTAGATAACCGTCAGGTCATTCATAAAGTACTCTGGTATGCGTCTTGACTAACCATTGCCTTGCACGGGCAGTCCCGTTGGTGAGGTTCGATGTCTCGATCTTGAAATTCCAGTACTAAAGGATTCTTCTTTGAGTGACGTCTTGATCAAACACTATGGGATACGTACAATCCATCCAGCACCTTTACTATAAGCCAACTTCTGTGCGTCAGCCCACTGGTAAAGGAACTCGTCTGTGGCATTGAACTGTGTATCGAGTGACCACTCTCCGAACCAGAGCGGAGAGTTGCCGAGTGCTGCGTCAGCCTTGATTTCTGGAAGATCTATACCACAACTGAGTATGCCATTGTCGAACCAACGAAGAAGACATACTGCAGATACTGATCATGTATGACGTCGGGTCATTTCCCTATAAAATTATCAATGAGAAGCAACAAGCTACATACACACGACATACGGCCGACCTGTAGAGAGAATTTAAGAAATCATGATGATTTGATGTAGTCGGCTGCGCACTCACGAGTAATACAAGTGGTCGTCGTAGGCTTGAGGGCCAATCGCAACATCAGCTGGGTTAGAGGGATTGTTGTACTGCCAATTCACATCCATGAAGCTTTGCATGCCATTGTCAGTGTATTCTAGCAAGAACATGTAACAAACAAACTCACTTCGCCACTAACGGAGTACCGGATTGCTTGAAGGGTGATGCTTCAAATATAGTCTGCAAACCGTACTGTTGCTCCAATCCTCATTATAATCGGAACCGCTTCTAAAAGTGCCGCTTGCACCTCCGCCGAGAAGATGGTTGCCGAGGATGTCTCAATCAATGCAGCAGTGAAGTTGTTCGAGACGGACGCTGATACAGATACGGATAAATTGGACAACGGCACAGAGATTCCGAGTGTGAGTTCAACAGCACGGATTGTCTGGACGAAGTTCTCTTGGACTGTATGAAGATTCAGTAATCATGAGAGCACAAATAAAAAAACTTCTGATGAGTGATGCATACAGGTACCATAGTCAGGTGTTTGAGCCGCGTCATTAATAGGCTCATTGGCTGCTTCGATCGCAAATACATTTTCAAAATCAGGGTCCAGGTGAGAAAGCGTGGCCATGACCGCTGTCCACACCAGTGCACGGCCATAGTTGTATGGAGTCTATATACAAGGTATTATGGTTATTGCTTTTACCAGCTGCAAAATGACTCACGTAGAACTGAACATCAGTAGTGCAACTGGTAAAAATCATTCTCAGTACAGTACAAATAGTGAGAAAATGGTAACTTACTTTCCAGTGAACATTTGCTTAGCCGTTTGAACCCCGGGCAATGCGTGATGATCCAGGATCACTTGGATCCCGGCATTTTGCAGCCAGCCCAAGCCCCGGCGCTAGTTGCAAAAGCTCGAGTTTAACCAGAGGATTGAACTACAGAGTTCCTTACCAAATAGTTAAGACCGCCCCGAGGGTATGATTCGGACGGCCTATCGACTAAATCCTCCACTATCCAATATCCTAGCTATGTACGAACACGTTGCATAAGACACAAGTTTGCACGGGATAGAAAAGGTAAAGCAGATCAAGCCGTCCAGTTAGCTTGGCCAAGTTCGCGGTGTGCCTTGGACTCGACTCACAGGAATGCGGACAGTGTTGATACCGGCCGCCTTCAGTGTGCTGACATCGCTCTGTGTAAACCATGTGTCCCAGTGTTGAGCGAATGTAGCGTCGACAGTGTCGGGATACGCCCGTGCAAATGACCTAGATTATCACAGAACGAATCGAATTTCACATACAAACAGTATAGAATAGGAACGTACGACTCGGTTGAAATGCATGTCGAACAATCTGAACCACATAATTGTCCACCCATATCCACCCACCCTAGGGAAACTGGTTTAGTGAACGCGTACTTGCGTAGTTCGTCGGTTTATCACCTTGAGGAAGCATCCATAGCTCCAAGACTAACCTGCGCTACCACTTGAGTTCAACAGTCGGTCGCAGACGCAGAGTGACGCTTACCACGAACCCAAATTGACACCATAAATATGAGTTGGTTGCCCACTGGCAGCCCACGCACGGGCAACAAACGTGCTCAAGAGCACCAAGCCCGCCAGGATTTGTCTCATTGTACAGTAGCTCGATCGGCAGGGAGATGGCCCAAAACCAGATTCAAGAGGAAGCGCAATTTATATCAGGCCTCCTGCCCGACGGACGCGCCAGGTCATAGCGGGTCATGCAGGTGTGACCCCGAAGGCGCACCCAGTAGAACCCTCACTCACTGATAACAGTTTATTTTTTTGAGCATGCAGGACGAGATAAACTGTCAATTAAAGTTTGCGGTGCGGTTCCTAGGTCGACGACTGAAATATAGTCCGATTCCTACTAGTAATACGTACGACATACATAAACCAACTCTCTGTTGATCTGAGTTGGCGGGCAGCCATAGCCGCGGTATCATGATGGGTAGCGAGCCATATATTGGAGTCGGTACCATATGTATGCTGCTTCTTTCACAAGTCAGTTGAGCTATAGAGGTATTATTATAGCATACCTGGCTTCCTCTGCCCTTCTTATTCCCCAGGCTATCCATTGGTGATTTAGTGAAGGGCTCGTATAATGACATGAATCATGATGCACTTCAAGAGGCCGCGCCAGGTCATAATTGATCACAATAAAGGCATCGGAGGACTTGTCGGAGTTAGTAATAGAACTATATATATACGCTAAGCTGGCCCTTCAAGCTTCAGATCTCAAGTATAATATCGGACCGTCCGCACATCCCCTCATGATCATACATGCACACCTGAGATCCAGAACAATTCTATGTAGTATGGACAGATGGCATACCCGAGGCTATCTATGTGATTTCAAATATGTCTCCCAGTCACGTCTGTCGCGGACTGATAGTAATTTGGCTATGTCTCAGGTGTCACTGTATGTCATGATCATCACTACAAAAAGCCACCGAAACTTTAGTACTGCCGTTCTCCCTCGTCCTCCTCGCTCGTGCCATGTCACAGCATCACAGGATACAGTCATAATGATATATCCTTATGGCCAATGACCCTAAAAGTCCGATACTACATCCTTTAATCTAGTTATCCACCCTGGAATATATCCATTCTACCAGTGTGCAGTCTGGTATCTACCGCCGGCCAGTGGTACCGAACTTCACAGAATGGCACACACGAATCTCGGACTGTAACCGTCCATCTCCGAATCTCCGATGGACATGTTGTTTCGTCTCCATCGATCTCCATCAGTAAGCTACTACAACTTTTCCATAGGGATTCGCGTTCTTGTGACAACCCTGAGCTCCCAGACACAGACTCCACATGAGCTTCTGCGGAGGTCGACTCAGGGTATTCAGTCGCTCACAGTTCTATATGGCCTGCGGGACTTTGCGGCAAACTTGAGTGTCATTATCAGATCACTCTATTATAATGTATCCTACATCAGTAGTACTAGCACTACGATTATCCAATTTGTGTTTCAGAATTCTACCAAGTCTAAACTCGAACCTCGAAGCCGACGGGTCGGAATCCATCAACTTTCGTATACTTAGTGTATTCAGTTAGGGACGCTCGCACCTGGGCCACTCGCGGCAGAGCCCGCTACGATCGCATTCAATCGAAATCGCACTTGATTCAAATCTGTGCTACAAATATAAGTAGTCAGGGAAATCGATAGCTGAACCGTTGATGCGCGGAGTCGCACCCTTCAAATGCTCACGACGAATGAGATCCAGAGTCCCGTATCAACATGATGAGAAACAGACTCGCGCAAATTTTCCATAGACAAGTCAATGTCTGCCGGAAGTCCATAGGCAACCATTGACGCGTTCAGAACAACCTGTAGTCTTTGTAAGGTTTCATAGCCATCAAAAAATTGTCCAAAGTATGATCATTTTGCTCTAGTACACATGAATGCACGCAAGGACCTTCAGGCTGGAAAATCCAACTGTGATCTGCAGAAAGCTGCAGAAAGTTGGGCGACATACATTTCCGAAGGCTGTTGGAATCAAGGACCATCGAAGCTCGCACGAACAAATGCGAGCTAATCACAGCCAAGCTCGACGTCGCACTCATGCACATTGCAGATAGACAAGGCGAAACGTCTGTCGGGAATTGTGTGGATATTTGGGTATCAAGGGGTGTTCCGATAAAAAAGTAGTTGTTGGCAGGTTTCAAACCTGCGAAGTCCAAGAGAAACAGATTTTAACTCCGTTGTGGTGACCATTTGGCTAGTAAGACCAGTTCAGATGAACGTCCGAGGAAACTACCCATGAGTTAATGTCAAGGTGTGTTCCGATAGAAAAAACTGGTGTTCATCAGGTTTCAAACCTGCGCAGTGGAAAATAAACAGATTTTAATTCTGTTGTGGTAACCACTTTGACTAGGACGAAGTTGAGATCAATCTCCGAGGAACTGTCCATGAATGAATGTCAAGGTGTGATAAGAGGGAAAAATGATTTGCTGGCAGGTTTCGAACCTGCGCAGGCCAAGAGAACCAGATTTCGATTCTAGTATGGCAACCACTTTGACCAGCACACTTGATATTGAGATGGACCTCCTGCAGGAACTGTCCATGAGTGAATGTCAGGGTGAGGAAAAATCATTTGTGAGCAAGTTTCAAACCTGCGCGGTCCATGTGAGCAGATTTCTAATCTGTTCTAGTGCCAGTTGGCTATGACTACTTAAAATAGACCTTGAAGGATCCATCTATGAGTGAATGTTCAAGGCGTAGTAAGAGCAAAAGACTGTTGGGCAGGTTTCGAACCTGCAACAGATTCCTGTCCTGTCCTGTCACGCTTACCACATGGCTAACACTGGTCAAGATGGACGTCAGTACAAGTCGAAGAACATCATACATTGACAGTAGAATCGCATAGGATTAACAATCATTCGCCAACGCAAAATGAGCTGAATATTCCGCCAAGACTTCCTCAACGCCGACATCTAGTCCAGAAACAGAACCAATTGCACGAGTTGCATAACGTATGGACTCCGAGTCCGCGGCGATGTCCACTTCCGAAGGAGCTGTGAGGTCGAGCAGACATTGATATGGTACATCAGTGATGCGTAACGAGTGTTCTTACAGAAGACGATGAACTCTTCTAAGTGCATGACAACTTGCTCAAGCAAATCTCCATGACAAGCATGTGTGATGAGTGGGCTTGTATAATCGAAACCATCACTGCATCTGTTAAGAAAAGTCAGGATGTCCATCCAGCCAGTAGATATTGGACCCGTGTAAAGTACCTTGTTCATTTAAAACCTGTGCGAGACGCATCTAAAAACAATTGGGTGCCCTCGGATATGCGAAGACTTGCTGTCCAGAACTTGGGTCGTTTACTGTTCTCATGGTAAAGTGAGAGACTGGTTGGGAGGAAGGCTCGCGAGTTATTCAATAAGAAAAAGGTATCTTCGAGTGCTACTGGTAGACATGCAACATTGGTGCAAGGCCAGATCTGGGGAAGGTCTGGGCTCGTGTCGTCATCAGAATCCTTTTCTTCCCACGTGTTTACCAGGAAATTGCCGGCATGCCGAAATCGATACACGTCGTTTAGTTCTGTTCCAGAATCCATAAGCACATCGAATCTGATCAACAGGGGAATTCAAGATCGCTCAGCGTTGTTAATGGCAGCCAACTTGTTCTTATGGATACCCCTCGTCTTCACTTGGGTAGTGCCGGTGCTCGCTCATGAACATCATGGAGAAGACCTTACAGAAGAACAACTACATGCCCCAGTTGACGCCATTCTCTGGATACATATCGCCCTCCAGGCTATCGTATGGGGTTTCATATTCCCCGTGGGTATGGTACTTGGACTTACACGAAGTAAATGGCATGTTCCTGTACAAGTGCGTTGCATTGTGTCGTCTTGTGATTTTATTCTGATTAAGGAAGTTACGTAGAGTCTCGCCTTTGCCCTAACTTTTGGCGGCATAATTCTTGGCCATGCGCATGGCGGTCGACAGTTCCCTTCTTCTATCCACTCACATATCGGATCATGGATTTTGGTCCCTATCTTTGCCCAGCTGGGCCTTGGGATCTATCTCAAGCTTCATATTCATGAACGTACCCTACGACCATACGCTGTGCGCGCCATGGCATCCTAGGACGTATATGGCCCATCCTTGGTTGGGCTCAGGGCTTGTTTGGCGTCATCACACTGAGGGGGTTTTGCGGGGAGGTAGGAGCCGGACAATGTGCTGCGCACTATCTTATGGTAGGTCTACGTGTCATGTCCATTTTCGGTTAGTGCTCATTGAAGTCTCTAGGGAAGTGGATTCATTGCCTATGGTATCATTATGGCACTCTTACTCGTTGTCGGGGACAACTGGGTTCGCCGCAGCAGCCGCAGTCCGGAATGGTGGGATTCGTGGGTAATTATGCTTTGGGTGCGCGTATCACGGACATACAATGTGCTCGAGCTAAATTTGTCACAGGGCATAGTCAATACATTTACTGAACACCACGGTGGTGAATGGAGTGTAAAAGATATGCAGCATACGTACGTCTATTCTGAGAATTGTATTGGTCAAGTGATCGACCATCCCTACGTAGGATTCTTGGGATACTGTGGTGGGCAGGAGGCGCTCTTGGCATCTTCCTGTCTCGGAATAATCAGGTAGGTACCCAATCGCTTTTAGTGCATTGCTAAGCTTGTCTACGCATGCAGCGAAATGTTGTCCCCGGCGTGATGTTCGTCTTTTCGCACTTTCTCTCGTGCTGATCGATGGTCTGACAAGCGCTTAGCATAATATTAACAGGATGGGCTATGTCAGACCATGCCCAGGCTCTGATGTTGTCCACGAAGGTAAGAATTATGTCAGGTTGCATGTATTCACCATTCGTGTGTACTGATGTTGGTCGTATTTTCAGGTTCACTCTATGTTTGGATACTCGCTGATGCTCGCCGGTTTTGCACGTATCCTCGAGGTTTGTTTCATACCGCTGCCACCCTCATCTCTATTGGAGACGCCTCCACTGGGTGATAATGATTCAGAACACACCCTGGCACCTTCTGCGCCCAAAGATGCCGGTGTTGCCACAAAACAGAATGCCGCCCGGGCATTCAGGCACTTGCCACCGTTTGTCAGTATCATTTTTTAACAATTGTTGTGATAAGTACTCATTGCAATATTTATCAGTTACTAGTTGCTTCTGGGTACGTTGCCACTATAGCACAAACAAGCTTGGTTCTTGACTGTGTATCCAGGTTACTCTTTATGTCTGCTACAGACGAGGAGCTCGAAGCTGTTCACGAGGAAGGAATGGATCACGTCACATATGTACTGTCGATGTACAGGTGGGGCCTTTACGGATTCGCGTTAATGCTCATCAGCTTAGTTCTTTCACAGCATTGCATTCCTATTCTACCTCCTCACTGTCTTCTTGCTGCACCTTTACTCCACGTCTGGGCGGAATGCGTCGTCTGCGCAGCAGCCTAATGATGTTTTTTTCCCCTGAGGGCATTGAGCTGTCAGACCCGACTGATGCGAGTAAGTGGTATGCGCCACTATCAAGGGAGGAAGGGAGGTCGGCAGCAGTGCATGTGCTTGGAGAGGATGAAGATGATTGATGTCTCGATGGCATGCTTGGTCGTAGTACTAGATGACTTCCAGCAGTGTTTAGAACGTCGTTCGAAATCTACATCTATGTTCTCAAATCCTCGTACCTCCCCCCATCAATCGTCAGCCCTTCTGTCGTTGTTCACCTCATCAAATGACGGCATCCTCGTTTTCTGCTGTCTTCGCCGTTGGCTTTGGTCCCTCCTGTCTCGCTTATCACAATGGATCGGCAGCTTGCTGACGATGGTAGTCCGTCGTATCTTAGCCTGCTTCGCACGAACAGTAATTCTCGTCGCTCGATTGGTCTCAAATTCTCCGAATAACAGGACCTGTATGAGATATATTTCAACGTTGCCCAGGTATGTTAGCTTCCATTCTATCGCAACCTTACTTATCGATGGGGCTACTTCGCGGAGGATTCATACGCGCATCTAAGATCCTTGCGATGCCGCAGCTCCCTCGTCGCACTTGCTCAACTGCGTGAAGAAAGTGATGAAGACCCGCAAACGACATCATGATCACCGAAGCCAACGACATCTCCTGGACATTTTTATCTCCTCAGCGACGAAGAGCTTCAATCAGATGGGAGCTCAAAGTAGGCTGTTGTCCGCTGCTTTTGCTGTTGCCGCACATCAAGATGAGTTATATACTGAGCAAATCACCTCCCACGACGTCACAACAATCATCCTACCAATACTCCGAACCTCACCGGTGCCATTTAGCCCTTTAAACCTACAACCTCTCACTGATACCTAATCTTCGAGATATCTATTCAGTCATGTCTCTTCACATATGATAAATATCATTGATATCAAAGGTTTAAGCATTACAGTACTGCCTTGCCGGAACCAGTAGAAACTTTGAGTTTAAATTATTTTGCTACTGCTCGTAAATATATATTTTCACTCACTTGCAGCAACAGCGGCGGCGGACGACGGCGAGGCTGCTCTGAGCTCCCCTATCAGAATAATGACATTGGTCCAGGAGTACCCGTAGGGCTGTTCTATAAAATTTGGACGAGAATCTGTCTCAGAATTTCTAGCTACCTGAGAAGGCTGTTGCCAGACATATATAGTGATAGATCTGTGATCGATGATCAATGATACACTACGTGACACTGTACCGTTATGGGTAGCCGTGGAAACGTTATCTCTACACCCAACTGACTCTAAAAAAACCAAAGGAGTTTCCATGAAAATTGAAATATGTTTGAGATAACAAAATTTAAGGTAGCAGTCCTACCCCATCCTGACAATCGGGGTCTGCTCTGGCTCGATATGAGGTACATAAGGGGTTACAGGAGGCTACAGGAGCTTCCGGATATCTACAGCCAATACAAAAGCTCGCGTTCGCTGACGTGACGAAATAATTTTGGAGTGGTAAAAATCCGATACAGTTTCCTGGAGTTTCCTGGATAGTTTGAGGAGACCCATCCACGTTATTGCGGAACACCGATTTGGAGTGAAAGCGGAGGCAAAGGTGGGAGCTTCATTCCCATGTATGTCCTGGCCCGAACCAGCCCGAACCTCGGACTCGGTACGACTGTATACCCAGTGCGCAACAACTTGCTTTTTGAAGTTTTTCAACTCTATGCTCCTGAGCCGTTATTGGAGATCAGCGCTCAGCTGCGACAACTGCGCTCCTCACTGCGCACACCACACCCATCAATATGGAAACCATCAGGCTTGAACTTGGAAGGGCTATAATTCTCGCATTCATTAATAGGCTCGTGATCCCGCGCGCGCCGGATAGTGTCGTGATGTTCGTATTATGGTCTGAGCGCAACGGCGGAGCACATTGGATGAATGTAAGGACTGTAATGCGCGTGAGATTGGTGGTGGGAGGGTCCCGTCCATGTGCGTGTGCTGAGCCGAATTATTTAATTTGGAGACACAGGCTGTCATGGGTCAGCTGGAGCGGAGGTAGCGAGTTAGACGAGCTGTCAGTACTTCCAGTGCGATGCACCACGCGATGACAACGGCGCCGGTTGCTAATCGGTTCTGTATTCAATCAAGAGGAAAGTGGGTTCCTTTACCTGACAGGCATAGCTCCCCGAGCGCATCGTTGTCCTTGAGCCAATACAGCAAGCGGGGATCATTTGATATACAGCTCGGTGAGGCTTACGAGCGAGACGTTCCAGAAAGTTGGGTAGCTGTATACCCTTTACTGACCAGATGAGTCCAATCCGCGGACGATCTCGGGAGGCTGTGTGACGTTATGACATCTAGAACGTTCACGACGTTAGTGCGGATGAACAAGGAAGATGTTCAATATGAGATTAATAGTTGGTGCGAGTCGCTACGTTCAACATCATCATGATGCTGAATTTTCGAGGAAGACTCGGATAGCCTGAAGGAGTAAACAGCAAACGGTGGTGACACAACTTGAACTGCCTTGCTTCAATTTGGGGTAACTCCACAATCGAGGTCGATGACTCACACGGGTGGCATATGGAAGCGGATAATGAGGTGAGCGAGCGGAGGCCTGCCTGAGAATCTATCATGCGGCGCTTGCACTTACCACACTTTGTTGGATTGCGTCAAATAAGCCATAATAGTAATTGAGCCACGCCACCTCGAATTGATATACGGGAGTCTGGCACGGCCTGCATAGTACATACTAGTAGTGCTGTGGTTTCCTTGCGCCAGCCCCCCCTGCGTGCCCAGCCTGAAGTAGTTGTTGACTGATCCGAACCGGCACATGGAACGATGACATTAAGATCCAGAACGTGTGCAAATTTGAATTAATGGATGAAAATAAGAAGTCACTTTTCAAGGTCTCCGATCTTGTCGTTGAGTCTTATTATCAATAGAGGGGGAGATCTGGGAGACTCAGCTAAGCCGAGAATCGAGAAAAGTCAAAGCTTCTGGTGCTCGTCAGACCTAGAACAGCTGAGCACTTGGCAGTTATCTACTAATCAGGAACAAGCCGGTTAAATCCGTGCTTATCATGTCATTCAACTGAAAAACTTACACATTTACCTCGTTATTCGTACAGCTTTTACCACTTCTTTTACCATCACGGTACTTAGACGGCCAAATAAAATATTCATATTCATATTCACCTGGCCCAGCCTTCCCGTAACGTGCTCGGGCCATAATGTTACCCGTGTAATGATCGTTATGTTGGACGGGTTCGCATTCTTGACACGGCCAATAATTGATTGTCGGTAAACAAATTGCTGTAAAACTTCCTATCAGCCACCAGTATGGTTCCTGTCGTATATTTTCTGATCTGTATCAGGCACCACCTGGCACCACGCCATGCGTAGCTACCATACTTAATTGCCCAAGATGATCCGAATATCAATCCTTCCCTTTGAAACCCCCCTCATCTTCCTTTGGCGTGATCCCCCTCGTTGACTCCATTATGAGTAGCGAGGATCACCGTGACAAGTATGATGCCGACAGCCTCGAGAAGAACCAGCCAGACGTTGGAGTTCACATCGTTGCTGAAGGAAAGCACAAATTCGATGTCGCTTCCATCGACTTGGTACAGCGTCGACTCAAGCAGCGCCATGTTCAAATGTATGTCTAGCTCTGATTTGTTATAACCAGCTTATTGATTTTTTTTTTAGGATTGCTGTATGTCATGTCATCGTGTTGCCGTTGCGGGTTGACTTACGAAGGGTGTAGATCGCTGGAACACTCGGTACAGGACTTTTCCTGGGTTCTGGGAAAGCTCTCAGTGGCGCAGGCCCCGTCGGTGCCCTTATCGCATACGCCCTCGTAGGCTCAGTGGCATATTCGTACGCTCGCACACTCCTTCATTAAGCTATTGTTTAATACTCTTCCAGCTCACTGTGTTCCATCGGTGAAATGACGTCCCATGCCCCAATTTCAGGGACCTTCCCTCATTTTGGTCTGTAGGATAATCCATATTACTTGAAACGCGACATTGATCCACATTATTCAGCCGCACGATGGGTCGACCCTGCACTTGGTTTCGCAGTAAGTACCGAGTTCTTCAATTCAATAATGTCATCGCTAATTGCTCGGTGTCTAGGTTGGATGGGTAAGTCAACTCGTTCGCAGTCTCTGGCGTTTCTGACAGTCGTCACGATTTATTCAGAACTACTTCTATGTGAGTTAATCATCTGTCCCTGTACAAAACGATGTACTAATGGATTAACAGACTAACGTGTATGTCTTTTTTTTGGTCTCTTGTCATTACGTTTACACGTGAAAAGGATAACCGTGCCGGTGGAAATCACGGGCGCCCAGATTCTTATCACTTATTGGGATTCCAACGTGAGCTAAGCAATTGGTTCACAGTCATGTTGATAAAACTTTATCGTGTAGCCGAATCACGCGGGTATCTACACCGCAATTATCATTGTTTTTGCTTGCGCGACGAATATCTTCGGTGTACGGTATGTGGCGTTTACCCTGCATGTAGTGCATGCTCACAACCTTCCCGCAGGTACTTTGGCGAAGGTTAGAAATAATTATTCTCGAATCTGCTCGACTCAGGCTCAACCATATATACTACCAGCGGAATTCATGTTCTCAATCATTAAACGTAAGCTTGATTGCTGATGCTGGCGTGGTATTTCGGCCTTACCTACTATCACAAGTCACGATGATCACCGGTCTCATTCTTGTTGGTCTGGTCATTGATCTTGGTGGTGCACCAGATCACCACCGGTTGGGCTTCCAGGTCGGTATCAAAGTCAACTGGAAATAAACAATTGATCTGACAATGAGGGCAGTACTGGAAAAACCCCGGTATCCTAGCAGGTGCTCAACTAGAACCACAGCATGTTGGCCTGGACCGCTTCCTCGGTATTTTGAATGTTCTTGTTCAAGCATCATTCTCATTCCAAGGCATGGAACTCGTCGCAATGTAAGCAAACCCCATCCATCAACGGAAGAAGCTCATTTTCCAAATTGATTCATAGCGCCGCTTCTGAGACCGAAAACCCCCGCCGGAACATCGCGAAAGCCGTCCGCAGGGTATTCTTCCGTATTTTAGTTTTCTATGTAAGCCTTTGTTATTCTGGTTGGAATGGTGCAGGTCCTGATGAAGGGTGCGTGCAGATCCTTGGTATCTTCATCACAGGCCTTATCGTTCCGTACAACGATCCCAACTTGCTCCAATGTGAGTTCTTGCTCGTGTCCTGCAGGACAAGTCTAATATATTCGGTACAGCCACGGGTACTGCTGCCCAGTCTCCCTATGTCATTGCCATGGCAAGTGCTGGGATTAAAGGTAACATTCACGATAATCTGGACCTGATCGTTGTTCATATTTACATGGACAGTCCTACCAAGCATCATCAATGCCGGCGTCATGACGAGTGCATTCAGTGCTGCAAACTCTTTCCTCTTCTGTTCATCTCGTATCTTGTACGGTCTTGCTCTCCGAGGGCAAGCACCTAAGATCTTTGCAAGGTGTACGAACTCTGGACTTCCCCTTGTCGCCGTTGGGTTCTCTGTGCGTCATTTTTAGGACCATCGCGCTATTGCATGGCGCTGATTCTATATATAGAGCATTTTTTCACTCCTCGCGCTCATGAACATCCAATCAGGTTCCGCAACAGTGTTCAAGTATGTGTGCTCCGAGTGGTGTACGATCAGTACTAACGTTTAATTAGTTGGTTTGTCAACCTCTCAACTGTGGGCGGCTTCTTCGGTTGGGGATCTATCAACTTGACCTACATCTTCTTCCGTAAGCCCATCATCCACCTATCTCCCTTCTAATCTAGGTCTCACAAAATATGCAGACCGCGGAATGAAGCACCAAGGCATTGACCGCACAAAGCTCTACTACTGGAACCGCTTCCAGGTACGTACCCTCTGTCGATATCCGCCGAGTGCTGACACTGACACTGACACGTCACCTTCAGCCATGGCTTTCGATCTGGGGATTGAGCTGGTGCATCTTCTTCATCCTCATCAACGGCTTCGAAATCTTCTGGGGTTTCACCGCCGCCGGTTTCCTCACTGCCTGTGCGTCTACTCATTGTTCCGTGAAGTCTTGATGGATTTACAAACCCAATTACCTCTCGCAGACATTAACATACCGCTGTTCTTCGGTCTTTACTTTGGCTGGAAGTTTGTGAAAAAGACTGAGGTCTGGAAACCAGAAGAGATGGACTTTGTGACGGTAAGTGTCTTGGCGGCTACTCTTCGACTCAATTTGACACGTGAGATTAGGGTATTCCTACCCCAGAGGAGACAGAGGGGCCATACTACCCGCCTGTGGGTTTCTGGCAAAAACTCGCTGCCATTTTGTTCTAGGTTGTAGTGTGGTTGTTGTTGTATGGATCTAGTCACTGTCTCCAGCTCTCGTTCTGGACAGAGCTGTAATTCCCTTCTTTATTTTTGATGTTTAGTGATGGACGGCTTTCGGCCATTCATCTATGTAGTGTTGGATACCTGTAACGTTTTATTGAAAACGAAACAATAATGCTCTTTGAATGTTTACTGTGCAGTACCGCATTGAATATATAATAATCCATCGCCAGTCTAAGTGACACCAGGTACCGAAAAGCACATCATCCGAGTCAAGGCCCTTGTAAGATTATTTGTGCGATCTGAGGATCTAAAACACGGGTGTGATATGGCCAAATTCACAGGTCGTTGAACGCGATGTCACTTCTTGCCGTTAGTTGAGTTACACGGGCATTCATATAGACTCCAGGGTGATCCGCGTAGATCCACGCTGAATTGAGAGACATGCAAGGACACGGTGATACACAGGGACACGTACGTATAAAATGAACCGGTATCACGACCTCAAAAGATCTGATATCTTGAATTCCACAGCCCGATACCTGTCGAATGATTCAACGCATTCTCAATTTTTAAAGCTCAACGGATGGTGTTTGTACCGGACCCCCAGTGAACTTGACGCTATCGCGCCACCGCCACTATGGCCGAATCTGAGATCACGAAGATTTTCATATCTGGATGCCAGAGAGGAGTTGTATTATTTTGGGAGATCCAAGTGGCGTTGGGGATAGAGCTGATGAATTTCCGAACCGATCAGCATCAGGCGGTTGCACTGGTGCCAGACTGTCACGGTTGCAGCGTATCTCGTCGGAGTAGTCTCAGGCCCGGGAGTACACCCGTCGACACGCGCGTGCCTTATTTCAAGCTGTCAACTTGAAGGATATCGGAGGATATCATGGTAGCGTATCACCACATGCTCTGCAGTGCCTGTGTTGCGACTTGTTGACATAGATGCCAAATTCTAGAGTATTAGCAGGCGTTAGCTGGACTTGTGCCTGAGACATACTGGAAGCGCCGCCATGTCGACGCTGTATGCGTAATACGCATATAGGCTAGCTCATCGTATACCATACCCAAACACACACCAGTATGATGTGGATCAACGTTAACTTCGGATCAACGGTGACTGATGGCTTGAAACTCGAGCACAAGTGGGTGATGTTTTGTGGTGTTTGGTGATGTTTGGTAGTGTGCCGAAGCCTCACGTGTGCGTTGGCGAGGGTTGCGTTCACGTCCAACATAGTTGGCTACTACATAGTACACACCATGTCGACAGCTCTCATTCTAGGTGCAACAGGTGCAACAGGCACACACCTCCTTCGCGAGCTTCTTTCAAACAATCAATGGTCTAAAGTTGGCGAATACGGCAGACGAGTAACACCAGAAGCCGATCTTCCCCAGAATAGGGGCAAACTGGAGCAGAAAACAATCAACTTCGAGAACCTGGAAGCAGCAGAGCTGAAGGACGGACGATGGGACGTTGTGTTCGTCACCCTCGGGACGACTCGCGCAAATGCAGGGAGCGCAGAAATGTTCGAGAAGATTGATAGAGAGTGAGTTGAGTTTTTCTGTCATACTCGATTCCATCTCATGTATCGTACGCAGGTATGTGGTGAACGCCTGCAAGGCTGCAAAAACAGATGATCCGGAACATAAACAACGTGTCGTGTATCTATCGGTGGGTTTAACATATAACATGTGATGCACACGATGCGAATTGATGCGAAATATAGTCTTCTGGTGCTGACCCGTCCTCTCGCTTCCTATATCCGAGGTGCGCAAGCATTGCCACGGCTCTCTCTTCCTTAATCCTTATCCGAATTTCTTTCCTTCAGGTCAAAGGGTCTCACAGAACTAGGCATAGCACGCCTTGGGTATGCGGACACCATCGTCTTCCGCCCAGCTTTCCTCAAAGGAGCACAGCGTGCTGATAAAAGGCTCGCAGAGACCATATTCGGGTGCGCTTCTCCTTCCCTCAAATTCTATTTCAATATTGATTTGGCTAATTCAAGTTACGTGACTGGCGCCGCGTCGCATTTTACGTCCAACGCGGAGATTCACGTTTCCGTTCTTGCCAAAGCTATTATGAAAGCGGGCATTCTGGGTTCATCCGGCCTACCGCCTGCTGTGGATGCCACTAAAGCAGGGCAGGAAGATGCGTGGTTTACTTTAATAGGGAACAAAGGCGCGCTCGTTCTTGGGCAGGAGTAATTCGTCGTTGCGGTAGTTCAGAGATCCTGCGGGTTTCAGTGTTATGGATATTCTGTTGGACTGGAAGATTATTTAGGCACAAATGTACCGTGCAAACAGTAACAGACAACAAGAAAAGATTATAAGCCAGCTGGTAGTGTGCTAAGTATACAGCAAGTATAATTATGCCCTTTAGGTCAATGATATCAGTAGATGAATTTCCAGATATCCCGACTTATATAAGCAGGAATAGCCGCCGGCTCGGTGTCAATGGCGTCCAACCCGTCATGCTGTACAGCGCTAACGCATGCTCAGATGCTACGCATGCCGTCCAGAATTCCTCCACATCGACTGGATCTCAAATAAATTGCATAATATTCTTGTTAGAGAGATATACGAGCGAGAAACAAGAGACGACTGATATTCTTGTGCAATAGGAATGAGCGCAGATTACATTCGGTACATTCCGTAGTATACTCATTCTATTCTAAAGTCCGAATCTCCGCTATTCGTCAGTGCACGAATCATCTCACAGGTATGTTTACTGATTGTTCAGTCGTACCTGCTATAACAACACATATGCGCCATACAACGCAACCTCTCAGTCGAGAAGGGACTGGTGAGGCATGCACGAGTAGGAATGACGGCTCTACATCGTCGATTCGTCGAAGACTCGAAGTCCAGCTGCTCAACAACCTAGGAAAACGTGATGCACGTATGACTGTAAGCCTTACAGTACTACACGCATCACGTTTTCCTTTCATCCTCATCGCTCAAGTTGGACGGTGAATCGAAAACAGTTTGCCTCGGGGCTCGCTTATGCAACTACTTTCAACGGCTGCCAAGGACTCACGCTCTCTCGCACAGTTCTGGATCTCAGAACGGATCCTTTGGCTCATGGTCAGCTATATATTGCATTGTCGCGCGTCAAAAGCTGTCGAGATACGCTGTGCTTATTTTCAGGAGCGAATGAGGAGAAAGATACAGCAAATATTGTGTACAAATGTCTGCTTTCTAGCGAAAAGTCATCATGATACGAACAAAAAGCAACGACCAAAGGTCACCGCTTGTATGCGCATAAAAAATGGAATTCTGATATCTAATTGAATAGATTCAGTTGATTACTACCCGCCTAGTGGCAACCATATTGATTGCCAGGCATTTTTATACCATACAGATACGAACATGCTTGCAATGCAATCATGATATCAATTAATTCCGAAACACATACCAGCAATAAAGTGGTGTAAGGAGAGTGTGCAAGCCAGATGTCGCATAATACAGGAGGGCCTAGGAGTTGCAGGTATAATACGCGAGCGTGGATGTGGAAAACCAAACTGTTTGTCATTTTTGAGCGAGAGCGAGCATGCAGCGCAGGCCGGTCGGGCAAAGGCAACCCACATGGCACAGATACAGTCGCATAAGGTGACAAGCCTCATATTGCGTAGGCAACGAATGAGATCCTTGGTGGGCAACAACGACCAAGGCACCACGCAATCGCCAACAGAATGATATACATAAGTAGGAGGGAGTAGGAGGGACAGGTCAACGAAGCACTGCGGCAACCTCAGAGCCGTACAAGAAAGCACACAGCAGCGGCAGAAAGTGAAGATCACATTCATACGGAAGCTGCACAGATGTGAATTCAGGCAAAACGTCAGAAACAGATTTCGCCAAGAACGATGCACATAACTCAATGAAATGGTGGCAAATGGCGGCAAGGATGTTAGATTTGGTGCGGCGGACGACAGAAAGACCTGACACGTCTGAGACAGGTTGAGATAAATGATATCCCAAAACAGTAATATGCAGGTGAGGTCTGATGGTCTCACTGGAATAGAACCAAGGGGGATACTGTTCCAACGAGCGCGAAAAAGAAACACGTTGGGACGAACCAAAGGAGAGTTGACGGATGATGGAACAGTGGCGATAACCAGCAGTCTCAAAATCAGCCAGTGACAGTGAAACAGGCACATCATGGAGGGTCGCTACGTTAATGGCGGCACCGTCAAACGAAATACAACCCATAAACAGGAGTCTACACATTGCAAGAAGCTAGACTCGAAACAAAATCACTTCAGTGTACATAACAGCCATATAGTGATTGGAAATCGGGATCGAAGTGAGATCTTGCCCAGCACAACAGGACACGAGTATGTTTACAAGTCCAAGAGTAACGTCACGGTGTGGCCAATTCCTCGAAGAAAGACATTACATAATCGGAACGAGCTGGCGGAGTCGAGAACTGGCGCGTACGCGGGCGGCGACATACCATACACAAACGCCAGCGAGGATGCAGATCAACTTCGGATCAACATGATAGCTTGAAACTCGAGCACAACTGGTTGCTGCAACTGGGTGCTGAGTACTGAGGTTCGGTGATGTTACGTGGTGTTATGTGGTGTTTGGCAGGATGCCGAAGCCCCGCGTGTGCGTTTGCGAGCTCAGGTTGGGTTCGCGTCCGAGATGCCATGGTTGGCCACTACACACCATGTCAACAGCTCTCATTCTAGGTGCAACAGGCGCAACAGGCACACATCTCCTTCGCGAGCTTCTTTCAAACAATCAATGGTCTAAAGTTGGCGAATACGGCAGACGAGTAACACCAGAAGCCGATCTTCCCCAGAATAGGGGTAAACTGGAACAGAAAACAGTCAACTTTGAGAACCTGGAAGCAGCAGGGCTGAAGGACGGACGATGGGATGTTGTGTTCGTAACCCTCGGGACGACTCGCGCGAATGCAGGGAGCGCAGAAATGTTCGAGAAGATTGACAGAGAGTGAGTTGAGTTTTTCTGTCTACTCGATTCCATCTCATGTATCGTACGCAGGTATGTGGTGAACGCCTGCAAGGCTGCAAAGACAGATGATCCGGAACACAAACAACGTGTCGTATATCTTTCGGTGGGTTTAACATAAAACATTTGATGCACACGATGTGAATTGATGCGAAATAGTCTTCTGCTGCTGACTCGTCCTCTCACTTCCTATATACGAGGTGCGCAAGCATTGCCACGGCACGCTCTTCCTTAATCCTTATCTGACTTTCTTTCCTCCAGATCAAAAGGTCTCACAGAACTAGGCATAGCACGCCTTGGGTATGCGGACACCATCGTCTTCCGCCCAGGTTTATTCAAAGGAGCACAGCGTGCTGATCAAAGGCTCGCAGAGACCATATTGGGGTGTGCCGTTCTCCTTCCCTCAAATTCTATTTCAATGTTGATTTGGCTAATTCAAGCTATGTGACTGGCGCCGCGTCGCATTTTACGTCCAACGTGGAGATTCACGTTTCCGTTCTTGCCAAAGCTATTATGAAAGCGGGCATTCTGGGTTCATCCGGCCTACCTCCCGCCGTGGGTGCCACTAAAGCAGGGCAGGAAGATGCGTGGTTTACTTTAATAGGGAACAAAGGCGCGCTCGTTCTTGGGCAGGAGTAATTCGTCGTTGCGGTAGTTCAGAGATCCTTCTGGTTTCAGTGTTATGAATATTCTGTTGGACTGGATGATTATTTAGGCACATATGCCGTGCAAACAATAACAGACAACAAGAAAAGATTATAAGCCAGCTGGTAGTGTGTTATACAGCAACTATAATTATGCATGCGAATTCTTGTAAGTCAATGATATCAGTAGATGAATGAAGAAACATATGTGCGTAAAAATGGAATGTAAATGATATCCAATTGAATAGATTCAGTTGGTTGGTCTATTCCATGAAAGTATACATGCCTAGACTGTGCGTAGATGGCATAGGTTATATCCCGGCCTAACCATTATTTGGCGTTCCTATACGCGGCGGGGTCCTGCCCTCGGAGATAGTTTCCGTTGACCGGTAGCTAGGTAATCCCCGCGAGTAATACCTCCCACCGGAGATAAGAGTCGCAGGGATTCCTGCCGACCTTTCAAGCAGTGGCATCAACTTGTGAGAACCAGAACTCCTCCTATCTATACTCGGGCGCGGTCGATCCATCGCACCAGATACTAACCTATCTACGGCTGATAGTGGCCGATCGATAACAGGTACAGGTACAGGTATGTCCACAGGAAGTGGTTTATCCACTACAGTCACAGCACCTGTACAGCCCAGAACAGGTTCGACCTTCTCCACAGGGGAGTCTCCGGCATCGGACCGCGACAGGCTCATCACGAGTTCGCTTCTCCGGCCCTGACGGAGAGAGGAGGAGATCTGCATGGATTGTGAACGATCGAGGCCGTTCGGTCGCAAACCGGGGCCTGAGTCGGCGTCTATCCAAATCGAGGGAATGGAGGTTCGAGGAAGACCTGCTGTATGGGGAGGTTCAGGAAGGGAGACCGTCGGTTCTGGAGCGCCTGCAATGCAAATGTTAGAGAGCGATGGAAACATGATAAGGATGCGCACGGTTAGGTAACTGTTTTCTTAGCGGGCGAGAATACTCTGCGCCGCTGGTGTCCATATCAAGGAACGAGCATCCTTGTAAGGCGTCTGGAAGTGCAGGCATAGGTGGAGGCTCATCTTGTGACATATGAGATGCTGTTGGGGTGCGCAACCCCTTGGGCAAACGGAGACTGGCATTGGATGCGGTGCGTGAGCGTGTCTTTGCTGCGGATAGACGTGAAATCCGGTTGGGGCCATCTTTGGACCGTTTGCTGCGGGAGGATTTTACGGATTTCAAAGACTTGACGGACTTGGCGTCGGATGATACATGCTTCACTTGGGAGATGAGAGTGGCTTTGGATAAAACAGCTTTAGCAGTGACGCCCATGACTTGTGCGATATCGGTGTTGATGGTAATGTCTCCTAGTGTTTGGTTGTCATCGATATCATCAATTTCCTCCTCGTCGCTCTGTTCCATCTCATCAATCTCGGCGGCCATGCCCTCCGCTTCTCTCCAGGCTTCATCGAGCTCATCCTCGAGCGTCTGGATACGTATTAGCGCGCGTCTCATCTCTTCTCCCTGACGCTCGAATGCTTTGTTTAGCTTGCGAAGTGCAATCCCGAGAGCTGAGGCCCAATGTCGGTGCTGAACCACCGAAATTTGAGCCTGTTGGTCTGACATGTGCAGAATGGATGCAAGCATAGAATCGCACGAAGCGATAGAAGTTGCAACTTGAGATATCAAGCCTCCCAATACATTCTCTTTATCACCTTCTCCCGAGTTGGCACACACACTCGCACAGGAGTTGAGCGCCTGCATCAGCATGGTTCGTCTGTTCATTTCGAATCTCCATTTGACCTGCGTTGCTAGGCGCTCTTCTTCGAGACGCTCTGCTTCTTTTACCATGTCTGTGTCCAGCGCTTTGGGAGATAGGAGGCGTATGAAAGACTCTTTTGCGCTCAACCTGATAGCACGTGAGACTATCTCCTGCAGTTCGGATGACGTGAATGTCCATTGGGCGGCTTCATAGGGAAGGCCCTTCCATGGAATCTGTATGGATTCAAATGACACTGTAGGCGGGGGCGCAAGAGGAGGAGGAGCAAGGAATGTCGCTACCGATGGCTTTGACTTGAGTGTTGCTTTTGGTTTTTGAGCTGGAGGTGTTGCTGCATGCGATAAGGAGGGAGATGGAGGGTACGAGGTAAAATTCTGTGAAACTTGAACACTAATGTCTGATGCCGCACACGTGTGTAAAGAAGCGCCTAATTGTGGCACGCACTGCGGGAGCGAGGCATCGAGGGAAAATGATTGGCTCTCATCCAGCAGGCCTGGAGGAGAGCCTGGACGGAGGAAGGGAGAGGTGAGGACAGGTGATGTCAACCCGGAGGTAACGACAGGAGAGCCTCCGTCGGTACTAGAGCTTCCGAGGGGACTGTTCATATCGACTGAATTTTTTGTGCGTGAGCGCAAGCGTGGCCCGTTTGGCAACGGAGGCCGAGAAGGACGGTCGCGCACAAGTGAAGGACGACGGGGAGATTCAAGATCTGATGGGACCAGATTCATATGAGCGGTAGCGCACACGATAATAGAACTGGATGGCTAGTAATTTATCTGTATGTTGCAAAAGTCAGCAAGTGCTATAATAGTAGGTGTTGGGGCGGTCGAACACAGGCTTGGGCACATGGCGTGGCATGACTAAATCCCAAATATAACCGCTGGCCCTTGATGCTGCCGTATGTCGATGGGACCCGAAGTAAAATTAAAATGTAAACGGATGCATGAATCTAATCTTATCTGAATTAGTGGTTTCATGACTAACGTTTGAACAGGAAACTTTGTACTCTCCTCCTAGGAAATCGAACTGCCATCGTTCCAGTACTTTGCCTGAACCTGTAAGATAAACTTTGACCGCGTCAGTAAAATACGTGGCTCACCGTATCGCGAGTTCGTTCATTCCATTGGCTGTACATAGTGGAACACATGAAAGCCAAAAAGGCAATTTCTGATAAAAAAAATTGATATGTTTTTTTGCGTAAATTGATCAAATGCAAGGCCGCGAATTTCGCATCTGGAGAAACGTTTTGTTATCTTTAACTCGTCCAATACAAGTTCGCGAGGCCGGTAGGCGCTTTAGTCGCTCAGTGACGCAAATCTTATATTGCCCATTAAGTTACTCCAGGGTCACAAACTGACTTCGGGCGTTATGAATTATGAACTAGGCTACTACGGCATATTCAGATCGTAACTAGAAATGCATTTCCGCGTCGCCGTTGCGAAGGTATTCATACTTCCCTCTTTTGTCTCTCACGGACGTACTTAGAAGAGCGAGGCACGCGGAATACGGCTCAAGAAAAGAGAGAAAACATCGTGGGTTTCTTTATGATCACGATTCAAGAAGCTGACTCTATTCATTTAGCCTACAAACATACTGTTCATTGCAGGCATCGGTGATAATTATCACCACCGCCAACAATCCCAACATCGCTTGCCCATCGTATAAGTATGACCTTCATGCACATGTCTTACACTACTTGTATGTTTGCCACGTTTATATCTTCCACTAAACCCTTCAGTAGGGCAAAACCAAGTCTACACGTTGTAATTGGCAGACCCGAACTTCATCAAACATAATTTGTTCGTTTCAATCGGACTCAAAACGCGCCTCCAGCTGCTTACTCTTACATACATTCCTGCTTTACTTTCGCCTACGTGTCAATCACCGCATTTTCCACTTAAATACAATAAAGCAACCCTCATCTGACCCGCCGTAAAGCAACGTCTGTCTACTATGGATGAATTTGGTACTGGCTCATGGGATTGCTTGCCATCCCTTCCTATTCCCCTCGACATACTTTTCGATGTAATTCAGCATCTTCCTATCCAAAGCATCCTGGCTCTGCGGCAGGTTTGCGCCCCTGTTTCGTTTCGTGGGATTTTCCAATCTGATTTTTATTTTCCAGACTAGTAGAGGTTTTTATGCTATCACGCGTCTGCGCAGTCTCTGGGCTCTCCTTCTGCAGACTCTTGTCCAGGAGCAAAACATCCCTATACCCTACTTCGATGGGAAATCCCTTGACTTTTTGTCAGCCTTAGAGCTCGAGCGGCTTACATGTTATGCACTTGCTCTTCGCAGCAACTGGACCAACCCTGATCCGGATGCGAAGAGGGAAGTTGATTTTTACAAGCCCACCGAGCCAGATTCGCGCATTATTTTTATGCAGTTTCTCCCTGGCAGAGGAAATCGTTGGCTGATTTCTGTCACGATGACTGCGCAACCCAGAAAATTCGTTATCCAGTGCTGGAACGTTGCTGTCCTGCAACCCGTGTGCATAGCAGAACTGACACACATGGAGGGGCCATATGGCGGTGTTGTTATCAATGATGATCCCTCTTCTCCAGCCATAATAGTGATGCAGTCAGCACTGTGAGTGTAAATAGTAACATCCGATTCAACGTTCTTGCTGATTGTTTATCAATAGAACGGAGATACTCACCATCGACTTCGAAGAAGAAGACCCCGAGTCAGCATTCGTTCCGCTCAGCACCATTGACGGAATTAGAGAGATCCACCTACTCAGTGGGAACACACTTGTCACCCGGCGTCCAGAAAACGGCGGAGAAGTGAGCATCTGGGACATCAACGATCAACCTTGTGAAAAAATCCACTTGGTGAACCCCTCACTAGTACAGGTTGGCATTGATTTCCATGTAATTCTGCACATCGCTGAATTCTATGGTTTGACAGAACGATCGCTGCCAAGCGATGCATCTTCGCGACGATTACATGGTAATCGTCCGCCAACAGACTATCGAATTCTACTCCACCATTCCCCGGCCCAACATTATCGCAACACCGGGAGCGCCAATCTCGTACCCACTCGCACAGTACAGCTTCATATGGCGCACAGAGACCGTCAATATGTCAGAGCAAGTCTGCTGGCATGCTGCGCGCTCGCACCGCCCCTCGCCGATCAACCTTGTCGTTCGATTTGGCAGCATCTATCCCTGGCCGGTGAACGTGTTGCATCATTTCGTGCTCACCCCAAATCCTGCGTACGTCCCAGGGCGGGAAACTTCTCTATACAACCTTCCATACTTGGCGCAGCCTACTCCAGCGCAGACGATAGGCTCTCCAGTGCGTTTGTTTGCTCCGTCGTCCGTTACTCTCGGACGATATGGTACTGCTCTCTGGCTTGACAGCCATACTGAAGACTGGATGGGGCCTAGCGACTGTGGACAGCGACTTGCAGGACGGATACTAGTGGCTGCGGGAGAATCCTCGACTAGCCAACATGATTCGCATGCTTCCATGGTATTTCACGTACGAGACGATGACTTATGGAACAAGGTAGCGATTGATGAGGAGTCTGGGAGAATTGCGGTCGGTTATGTGAACGGCTCGATAACGCTTTTCGAATATTCTTAACTTGGTTTCTTCATTTGTTTTCATTATCGATATCGCTCTTCGAATATTCTTAACTTGGTTTCTTCATTTGTTTTGATTACACAGACATTCTTCTCCATACTTACATTTAGCATGTTTCACCCATTTTTTTCTCATCTCTGTCACTTTATATCCATTGACCATGATATACAAAGGTCAATTCATTGTGGCGGTGTACAACTGCACGTTTCATTCCTGCTAGATTTCCATTCCGAAAATATCATAGCTATTCCAAGTCACAGCCGATATATCGCCTTAGGACGCAATGAGGACCTGAAAAACCAATATATGCCATGTCATAATCCGGTGCTCGGAAAAGTACGTACCGCTGACGGCGTCAATCCGAGTTCCCTCAGTGTTTTGCTAAACTGATCGCGGGAGAAAGTTTTCCTATCGGAAAAATGATGGATCCTCGTTACTGGGTACATGTCGCAACAAGAGACAGACTGACCTGGGGAAATGCTGGGCGAATGCCACCGTTTCCACGTCGACGGCAAGCGTTTGGGCAGCCAAAAATTCAGCAACTTCACGTAACGCTTGCAAAATGTGTCATTTCACAAGATAGTCATGTATGCAGGGAAGTGGCGGGACATACTCGCATCACTTGACAGGGTGGTCGTGTAAGGCGTTCCCCCAGTTGCCATGCGGATTTGGAGACGAGTCTCTTTGAAGTCCTTCCCACTTGTGCCGCTGGATGAGGACGCTGTCACCGCTGGAGTCGTTGACGCACCGGCTGGTGCGTCAATAATTGGCTGGCCGTCACGTAGAGCTTTCTCCCTTGCAGTCCTCTCTGCACGGGCTTTCTTATCTGCCTCAATCTGGGCCTTTACCGCGGCTTTGGCTTTGGCATCCTCAAGCTTCTCTACCGCGCGCGGTTTAGATCGGATTAATATGCATAGAATCCATGCGCATGACAATCACCTCTACGCTTCTGCTCAGCTTCTTTCACGAGCTCCTTGGCCATCAACTCATCTTTCAGTTTGCCGACGTCCTTGTTTGATTTAACTTCTGAAACACAAACGCCACTAAGTACGCCCACTAAACTCACCTTGCCAGTCTTGCGACGAATAGCTTCGTTCGCACGTGCTTCTGCGGCTTCTTGTTGAGTTTTCACGCTGCGCTTTGCAGCTATTTTTTCTCGGAGCTCAGCCAACTTCTGCTGCTTCTCTTCCTCCGTAAGTGGCTTAATCTGAGGGTCATCTGAGGTGAGAGATACGGCACACGCGTCACGGGGTACAAACTTCTTCCGTGGACTCCTCAAACTGATCATGACCACTCTTCTCGGCATGGTAATTAGCCAACGCCGTGGTCTTAAATACCTTGCCGCATTCTGAGCATTTGATACTCTAATAAGTGAGTGTGCTGAAGATAGAGGCTTCAAAGCCGCGATTGGAATAAACGTACCTTGGCCTCTGCTTCAGTACTCGATGTGGCACGAGCCTTAGTTCCCATCAAGTGCCGCAGGGCATCTTCATCTTCGTCGTCCACATCGACGTCCATAGGCTGCCCCGTGCTGCCTGATGCACTCGTAGGAGCAGCGCTCGGATCTGGAATAGGCTTCCCTTCGTTCTCCAGAATGTGATCCATAGCAGGCTGCAAACCGCGATTATTAGTCGCTCTTAATGCCCCTACATATCACGCGTCCACGGCGGCGCCTCAATCAGCCAGGGAATGCGGACCGGTAAGACAAGAGAATACGAACAGTCGACACGGGCTGGGTCGAATCCCATGCTGAGTAGCGTTTCCTTATCGCCAGCCATCAGGAATGTTGAGATATGTACGAAGCTTTGAGAAATTCGGGTCGAAAGGAGGTCACGGTTACAACACTTCTCCTTCTTGACTGCTTCCCATATTTGGACTCGCAACTTAGATCTCCCGAATCAGGATAAGTTCCTGCCTCAAGTCAGACAACCAAAAGATCAGAAACAGATACTCGGATTACGTGCGACGGGTAAGATATTTATACGTATACAAGACAGCAAGCAAGATTGACTATCATGATTCCTCTACAGATCTATCCATATAACCACTAGTGCTACAAAATCGTAACAAAAACGAACAGCAAGATACAACAAGACCAGCGTTAATAAGCGTTCGAATTTACGTTGAATAGACAGGGAAAACGAAGAAAATGAATGAATGGACTGTGTATTTCGCCTCCTACTTTTTGGAGGACTTGAAGAGGCCCATCATGTTGAGCCTCGCCGGCTTCTTTGCGAGAGTCTTCTTGGAAGGAAGACTGAGCGAGCTGCTGCTGTTGGGCTGCAAGAAGAGGTCGAGGCGCGTGGCGAGTTCGCCACAATTGTACCTGGACATGGCTGGAGCAACTGGGGTAGCAGGAACCGCAGGCTCGAACGAAGACTCAAAGAAGTCCTTGCGGGTGCGCTCAGCATCCACGGGAGAGTTCGACGGCCGCTTCAGTGCAGGGCTGGGAGGGGTGAGCGTCAGTGGCGTAGGGCGTCTGCGCGCCTTGCCCTTGGGCTTAGCAACACCACTTGCACACGCCGACAGCGCAAACTTGGGGCTCTTTGGGGATGCAGAACCCCTGGTGAACGCCACGTTCAAAAGGTAGTCGGGTTTGCGGAGGGTGCTTGGCAGCACGCCGAGGGCGGGAGGGAAGTGCGAGGACAGACATTGCTGGCTTGCGAGTAGCGAGGGGAGTGAGAGCGCTTCCGAAGACAGCGAGATCATCCGTGTCAAGATGGTCAGTGGGCTGGACGATGTAGCGCGGATCCAAGTCAGAGTCTTGGGTTGAAACGCTGCCGCGACGATCTTCGTCGACGTCAGGGTTAGCAGAGGCCGATTTGTCGCCGCCAAAAGTAACCCACTGAAGGTCACCCATGGTGCCGCTCACGGCACCATCCGCGAGGAGATGGGCGTACTCCCACTCCTCATCCTGATCCCACCAGATACCACCTTCGCCATCGCGGTAGACATCTCCAACGCCGGCAGCGCTGGCTTTGGCCTGAGCCTCCATGACACGCTTGATGTTGGAATTCCATGCTGCCACCATCAACAAACTGCATAAGTGCGAGCTCGTTGGCAAGAGGCGCAGGGCGCACGCCAGCGTATTTTGCCTTCTTGCGTTTAACCACAGCAGCAGATGACGCTGCCGCCTTGGCTTTCATCTTTGTGGGAGACGAGGGCGCCGCGGACTTGGACCTGCCGCGGGACTTGAGTGCGGACAAGGAGCGTAAGCGTGTAAGCCCGCGAGGCTTGCGCGTCGGTGATGCAGGTACAGGCTTGACCGCGATAGGAAGTGTCGCAGTGATAGGAGTCTTAGGGAACTGCAAAAAGACGGAATTATAGCCGACGGACGTGAGGTCAGCTTTAAAATTCTGTATCGAGGGGGTTGCGGCGTTGCGATGGGTGTCTAAAGCGATTAAGGAGCCTGGTGAGACGCGGACGGACGTAATGGATGCTCTGCGACCGCAGCCGATCGAAGGACGGCGACGCGGAGAACGCGGAGAAAGAGATGCAGGGGATCCAGGCTGAACGTGGGCTACCCAAGCGGTGATTGTGGAAAAAGTATTCGAACGAGGACGGATGTGTGGAGGGGCTTGAGGGGCAACCGCCCTGGCATACGAAGGTGGGGAAGGCAGTGGTTGTGTAGGTCGCTTTTTAGGGGGCGGAGGATAAGCCAGGAAGGCATATTTCGGGGGATGATCTGCTTTAATAGCGATATCCTGTGGCACAGCCTGGAACGGGATAGTACTAGTAGACATAGTTTTTAATAAAGTATCCGCCTATTCTGAGTAGGGCACATATTAGTTTGTCATTGTCGAGAACGGAGACGAGATATGGGACTTACAAGTGACGTGGAAGGACAGTTATGGGACGTTATGGTCTCTTGAATAAATGCAGACAAAAAAAATGAGGGATACAGTTATCGCAAAGTAGATGGTCTATGCCGGATAGGATATACAGTTGGTAGTGTTGCAAAGAATTAGTAGAAATATGAAAATGTTGCAAGAGTGTTGAAAGAGTTGGATGATGATTGAGTCTGATTAGCAGACGCGAGGCTAGCTCAACGGTACTATGGGGTTGGTAACTGTACAGGCGCCTGCTTTTGAGGGATTACCTGGACAAAAGGCTGTAGGCCACGAAGACTGTAGCCACCATTTGGACAATAGTATCGTTGTGGCTTAAGTACTATGGTTGCAAATAGTTCTTGGCTTGTATTGTGCAAACTCGGACCCACGCAACAAGGATAATCTGCATTGTCTTCCAGGACCCCATAAACTCTGTTCACATCGGCTATTTCCGTCCCTTATTTAAATTTCTCCTCCAAACTTTTACTTCAGTGCATTTGCTCCATGGTCAGTGAAAACGTGAATTCAAGCCAGTATCACGCCCAACCCTCACTGGAACAGCAGCACATCAGCGAGGCTCCTTGAAATTTCATATTGGCTAACACGAGTGATCAGGGTCTCTGCTAATACAATACTTGCCTAACTAGGCAGGTCGACGCCAGCATTGCTGCACTTTGTTTTAGGAAATCAGTCTCTCGACCAGCTAAACGATTAGCAACTGGTTAGAAGGGGGACAATTAGGAAGGCGAGAAATGTACGTCGCTCTATTATATTGTTCTATTATTCTTGCTCGCTGACACATAGGTGCGTGGCCTTGCATAGCTACCAATTTTTCCACATTTGCTGGCCTCCGCTGACTCGCTCAACAATGTCAACATACCCGGTGACAGAAATGATTGCCGGAAACAGTCCCATTACTTACTACTTTAAAGAATGCAAGTAATAAACGATAAAACAAAAGAGGTGATGTACATTGCTTGGAATACATGTGCACGTTATTTCCATCAGAAATCGGTCTCAGTGATTTTTGCCCCTATTCAGCACTTCCTCCCGACTAATCTCAATCACTGGGCCTTTCTATGACCCACGACCACGACCTCTGAAACCTCTCCCGACATGGATGACGCCTGCTCTTCCACGAGGGGGCACGCCCCTCGATACAGGCCCTATCCCAGGCTGTACGTTAACCTCTGCGGAGGGGCGAGGCGCACCAATCTGCACATTATGGGATCCAGCACGGGGATGAACCGTGGTGGATATCCTCGCTCTCCCTCTACCACCTCTCGGACCGAACGTGTGAGGGTTAAATTTGCTGACCTGCGGGTTGTGCATCTCTGGATGAACAAATCCTCCATTCTTTCCACCTCTTCCGAACCGTATGGATGGTGGGACCAAAGATAGAGAGTTTATCGAGTTTGCCAATTTGTCTACGTCATGGTCAGTTGCAGTCTGCACTGTACCATTTCCTTTCCGTGGTGGTGAGATAGCGATTCGTCTGGGTATTTCCTCGAGCTCTTGATGGTGACGTATTTTTGGTGTTGCTTCTCCGTTTTGTTCGTCACCACTGCTCGACTCTTCATCTTCACCTTCATCGCTATCTTCATCTTCATCTTCATCTTCATCTACGACCATTTCGTCATCTTCAGAGTTCTTATCGTTTTTATCATCCCTGGGCTTCCAGGTTCCTCTGATCATGCTGGCGCCATCTCCCCAGCGTTTAAGTAGACCACCCACACCTTTGTTTGTCACAGCGAAAAAGTACTCTTTTGGGTATGAGTGTGCTTGAATAAGATGTAATCGACGTGCTTTGGGCGTCTGGAATAATCGTGGACATGATACAAGATGACAAGCAAACTGTGAGATGGTTGAGGAGGTGAGAGCATGCAAGACACTGCAGTGAAGTAAAGCGCACAATTTTATCCCCTCTATCTTTCCGAACAGCAGCAAGTGGATCATGGCATTCTGTTTGATGCTATCAATCATCGATAATCGATGTTAGCACACTCGCAGACGACCCCACTCGTGCATAATCCACTCACGAGCTCTAGCAACCTGGCATCGGGAAACACGAAACCACATCCCTTCTGCTCACAAACTTGTGCATGGTATTTTCCATAATGCGCCTCCAGATCTCTCGAATTTGCGATCGGTGTTGGGCGGTTATGCGGCGGATTACACGTCGGGGGGAGTGTGCAGAGCAAACGGCGATCCCCCGTTGCCTGTTCTGTGGTGCGACTAGACTTATACATGGGTTCAGGTTCTGGTAACTGCGATGTCGATGTGGATTGAGATGGGAGCGATAATCGCGAACCCGAAAGCGTACGTTGGCGTTTGTTGGAGGACATTTGCGTCTTTTTACGTCTTCCCCACCTCGTTGCAAGCACCAGGAGAATGTCACTCAATCAGGAAGGAGACGCCGCGGAGATCGAAATTAATGTGTCACGCGTGTGACGTGTGTGTTTGGTCACGTTTCTTTCCCCTCCACATTCAGAGCCCTGCTCAGCGTTCTTGCAATGTCGTCAAAACGCAAATGGGACCAGGCTGCCCCTGAATCAACACCTCCTGAATTGGACCATCCTGTAAAGGCACCAAAAACCGATGAGGGGAAGACTGCTTCTGAAGCTGCGGCTGCTGCTGCTGCTATTGCTGCCAAAATTGCCGCACAATTTAGTGCTGGTGGTGGCATCGCCGGGAGCATACAGATTGGACAGAAGGACCCGCATGATGGAGATTTTACCCATGACATTGATATCAACGATGTCCGGAACCGGTATATGTTGACGAAAGGTTCTACACAGACTGAGGTATGTGCTTTGAACGATGGTTGTATGGCCAGCTATCTTCTAATCTCGCAAATAGATTCATGAGGATACGGGCGCGTCAGTCAGTACCAAGGGTGTGTGGTACCCGGATCGAACAAAGGCAACGGAGAAGGACCCTCCATTATACCTTCATCTTTCGGCTTCAAGCAAGGAAATGTTGCAAAAGGCAATTGACAAGGTTAACGACCTAATAGCAATTGACCTCGGTCCACTAGTAGAAGACAAGAAGGATCGATTGCGCGAAAAGGTTGTGCAATTGTCTTAACATTTCACTGTTGACTTACTCTTCTCCCAGCGTAAATGGCCGGAAGAGAAAATGCCTGTGGGCCTCGAGACTATTCGCAATTTCAACGTTCGTGCCAAAGTTGTTGGGCCACAGGTATGTCTGAACTTCCTTTGTTTCGATCACTTAAGAACTAGCGCTTGTGTCAGGGAATGTTCGTGAAATATATTCAACAAGAAACAAGTACGCGTGTGCAGATAAAAGGCCAAGGCTCAGGCTTCGTAGAACAAGAAACCGGCCGGGAGTCAGATGAACCTATGCACATACACATCACGTGAGGTTTCATGCATTCGACTGCTCGTATGACTGACACTTCAGCAGCGGACCAGATGAAAACCAAGTAGCCCGCGCTAAAGTGCTCACGGAAGACTTACTCGAAGTTGTACGCTCTGAGCATGCTAAAGCACAGTCAGCAATGATGCAACAACAAATGGAGTTGCACCAAGCACAAATGCAATTTGCACAATACCCGGTGGTATGTCCAGTCCTACATCTTAATATTTAGCAGCCGACATTGGTTCCCAGGGCGGGTACGGTGTTCCACCACCTGCACCTGAAAACGCACCTCCACCGCCACCACCTGGAGAGCAGCCTCCCCCGCCTCCAGATGGCAGTGCACCTCAACCACCATATCCAGGTGCACCAACCGGCGCCCCAGGGTCAGAGACCCAAGATACATATGCGGCATACTGGTAATCTTTTTTTGAATATCTTCCCGCATTTGTCCTAACATAACGGTAGGGCACAATACGGCTACGATGTCAACTCAGAGCAGTTCAAGGAGTGGGCTGCGAGTCAGCAAGCGCAGTATTACCAAGCATATGCTGGGCAAACAGCCGCTCCTGCACCGAGCGACAGTGCACCTCCACCGCCACCGCCAGCATAGAGGGCTGTTATATTTGATGCTTTCAATATGTAGCGATCGTACCTTGCTTTTATATCTGTGTATTTTCGGGTTGGTGCATATCAGACTCATCGACGTACCCCTTGCTTTGTCGTAAGTATTGCTAAAACAAGCCGATAGCATACCATGAGCGACGATGGGTGGTCTGTCGAGTTGTTGATGTCAGAGAGGGAGAGCTAAGGTAGCGCGAGCCTCAGTCTATGGTAAAGAGACTAAATTACTAATGAACGAACCTAAGGTAGCGCGAGCCTACAGGTAACCTAATGAGTATGTTATCAACATGGAGAACAAGAGCGTACACACCTCAGTCTATGGTAAAGAGACTGAGGTGCGACGAAGGCTTCTGGCTGCCTTAAGTAAAGAGAGAGAAGATAAACGTAACCAGGTGAGTGACATGCAATGACAGGGGGAATATATATGTTTGACAGACATGATATTAGGATGACACCTGGGTTAGGATGATACCGGGTCGGGTGCTCTAACGGATCACCTCTCAACACTCCCACTCGTTAGGGCACCCAGAGGATGCAGACCCATCTCCTCTCAGTGTTGTACTCCTGTGGGGCGAGGCAATGCCTTAGTCAGGCTATCCGCAATCATCTGCGTGGTAGATTTATATTGCAGTTCGACCTGTTTCGAATCGACGAGGCTGCGGATGAGATGGTAATGGACGCGGATATGTTTAGCTCGCTCATGGAACTTCGGATTCTTCGAGAGCGCAAGGCTGGCTTGGTTGTCTCCGTATAGGAGGGCAGGGTCATAGAGATCTGAGTCGAGCCGGAAGTCGTGTAGGAGCTGGATGAGGTATAGTGCCTCGCGGGAAGCATTTGAGAGGCCGATATACTCTGCCTCAGTAGTCGAGGTAGCGACGACGGATTGCTTCTGAGACTTCCAGCTGATGGGACCACCAAATAGCTGGTAGACGTAAGCACTGGTCGACTTGCTATCATCTTTGTCCACAGCATAGTCTGAATCAGAATGCCCCACGAGCCCTTCATCCGACGAGCCAAACGCAAGCATCAAGTCCGCTGTTCCACGAATGTATCGGAGGAGGTGTTTGAGTTGGCGGTGATGGTTGATACTTGGGTTCTCCATATAATGAGAGAGGCATGAGACGGAATAAGCGATGTTGGGGCGTGTGGTATGCATAGCGTAGTTGAGTTCGCCAATGGTTCAACGATATGGGATAGACGTGATAGCAGTTGCCTCTTCAGCTGTTGGAGCCCGCGTGGCCTTCTGTAAGACAACACCAGGTGTCATGGGTGTGCTGACAGGATTGCATTCGACATTCTGGCGTTCTCAAGAATTTTCTCGAGGTAAGCCTTCTGACTAATTGTGAGGAGCCTCTTCTCTCGATCACGTGCGATGTGCATGCCAAGAAAGTGGTGGGCAGGCCCAAGATCTGATAAGTCAAAGCACTGTTTGAGTTGCGCCTTGAACTTGTCCAGGTAATCGCGGGAGTTAGAGGCTGCAAGCATATCATCAACGTAGACCACGAGCCATATAACCTTGTCACCCTCATGAAGAACATATAAGCTATGGTCTGCTTTGCTTCTCACGAACCTGAAGCCTTCCTTCCGTAGGTATTCGTCCAGCGTTTGGTTCCACTCGTAACCAGCTTGTTTCAGCCCATAGAGTGCCTTCTCCAGCTTCCATACCCAGTCCGGGTGCTCAGGGTCCTCAAAGCCGGCGGGCTGTTTGAGGTAAATATCTTCCTTGAGGTCAGTGTTGAGAAAGGCAGTACGGACATCCATCTGGTCCAGCTCGAGGTCGAACTTCGCAGCGAGGGTGAGGAGGATATGGACAGTGTCATATTTAGCAACTGCAGCAAACATTTCAGTGTAGTCGATACCTTCAACTTGCGTGTACCCTTGCGCGACCAGGCGAGCCTTGTGGCGAGTAATGTTGCCCTCTTCGTCAGTTTTCACGGTGAATACCCATCTTGAGCCTATTGCTTTGCGTCCTTCTGGAAGTGGTGTGAGCCGGTGAGTTTTGAGTTCTCGCATGGACTGCAGTTCGGACTCGCAGGCATCTGACCACTGAGCCCACTCTGGTGAGGACCGTGCCTTGTGGATGTTGTCCGGTATGACTATGTTTGGGCATTTAGGGGGATCCGTTGCTGTGTGCATTGCAGACTCAGCGTTGTCGTGCTGTCTGTTTGCCTCATCAGGTGGCACTGGTATGTAGGTCCAATGCTCTGCAACAGGGACTCTTCTCATTGGTATGGAAGTAGCGTTGGTGCCGGAGGGTGCTGGGTGACCAGGCTGTGTCGGTTGGCATGTGCGAGAGCTGCGACGGGGTGGTATGTCTGCAGGAGGAGGCGCTGGAGGTAGACGGGGTGGTACATCTGCAGGGGGTGGTGCTGGAGGTGGAGCGTTCTCTGCCGCTGGTGGGTCTAGATCTCCCACTGACACCTGCGATGGAGTAGAGACAGCAGGGGTCGACAATGGTGGCTCACCAGCTGGCAAAGGGGCATCTCCCACTGGTGAAGAGATCCCAGGGGTATCTGCAGAGCCCAAGAGAAGGGGCTCAAGAGGAGAAGACGCAGGATCGCCATAGAACACGTGCTCGTCGAAATGCACATGACGAGAACGCACGATGCGCTTAGCAGAGGGATCCCAGAGAGTATAGCCCGCGTTTCGCACATGGCCGAGGAGGAAGCATCATCGCGAGATGAAGTCATACTTGTGGCAGGTGTCCTCCGGCACATGTGCATAGGCCAGACAGCCAAATGGACGGAGGTAACTGACGTCAGGCCTGCGACCATAGAATGCCTCAAAGGGAGTACGGCCAGCGAGGGATGAGGAGGGGAGCACATTCTTAATGTGCGCAGAGTTGAGGATAGCCCAGCCCCAGAATGAACGCGGGAAGCCACTCAAGTGGTGGGCACTGAGGGCATGAGTGACGATGGTCTGGTGACCCCGTTCTGCCACACCGTTTTGTTGGGGGGTATAGGGCATCGTGGTCTCATGCTCAATGCCACGCTCTGCCAGGTAACACTGAAAGTCCTTAGACACGTACTCACCGCCATTATCACTCCGAAGACGCCTGATGCGACCGCCAGATTGGGTCTCTATCCAGGGAGCAAAGTGTTGGAAGTGGTGGAAGACCTCAGACTTAGCGCACATGAGATACACGACAGAGTATCTCGTGTAGTCATCGGTGAATACTACAAAGTAGTAATCACCCGTGGAGGAAAACAGTGCTAACGGGACCCCAGACATCCGAGTGAATCAGCTCTGTGGTGGCCCTCGCACGACGTGCAACTGTGGGAAAGGGGAGCCTCTTATGCTTGCCCATGATGCAAGATACGCAATGGATTGTGTCTGCACCGTCAGCGCCATGGTGCAGTGAATCTGCATCAATGTGCATACCACTAACACTTCCTACAGCCTTCAAGATGGTGGAGAGACCCGCATGCCCAAGGCGACGATGCCAAGTGTTGAGTGACAGGGTCGCAGATGTGGCCTTTGAGAGCATCACGTGAGTGGGATTAGGAGTGGGAGAACAATAGGCAGCATCAAGCAGGTATAACCCACCCTTCTGGTGGACATGAGCGAGGAAAGGGTCATTCCCATCGTCAGAATGTAGTGTTCCCCCTTTGGAGGTCGTCACGAATGAGATGCAGGTGGAGGCAAGAGCAGAGACAGAGATGAGCGTGCAACGCAGATCAGGGACATGTAGGAACTCAAGGTCATGTTCCGTTATGGATTCGCCGTACCGGAGAATAAGTCTCACTTTGCCCCATCCAGGAGCGAAGACCACATGCTCATCAGCCAGCGTCACACGAATGGGCTCACACAATTTCGTATAGTGAGAAAAGCGTGATAATTCAGGTTCCATATGGGCAGTGGAGGCAGAGTCTACATGAAGTGAACCAGATGGTAGCATAAGGGTCGACGAGATACTGGCAGAGTGATCCTTCAAGGTAAGGACAAATGGCAACGGCGTGACAGACTCTTCAGTTGGGTCTGCCAATGGGAGCTCTGTGTTAGTGGCGATAGCGGTAGGGGAGGAGGGGCGAGATGCTGACTTTGGAGCTTTCTTGTCCTTGGAGAGTCGTGCACGACATTGTACCCAGACATGCCCGGCTTTCTGGCAGTGACCACATTTGGGACGCCAGCCAATGATCCACCCGTCTCCCTTTGACTCGTCGAATCCCTTTGGAGGGACACGGTCATTGGTTTTGGGGGCGTTATTGTTCCGGTGGCCAGAGAGCATCGCCATATGTTCTGGTGTGCTACTGGTCCCGGCACGAGGTAGCTCCTGTGTCTTCAATCGATTGACGATATCGTTGAAGTCCAAAGCGGTGTTGCTATTAACGAGGGTTTGACAGAGAGGGTCGTAGTAGTCAGGGAGAGCTCGAAGCAGAATGTGTACAAAGATTGTGTCGGGGATTTTGTACTCTTCCTTCGCTGTGGCTGTGGACGTCATAGAGGTCGCAGGAGGGGTTGACGTCGCCGCAACCGAAAGTGCCGCCACATAGTACAGTAACTTATACCCGTATTAGACAGACAGCTGAGGGTGACAATGTACCAATAGAGGCGGGCCAGCCCATGTGGGCCCATGGCCATAAGTGTACCATGATAGACGAGTGGGACGGAGGGTGGTGTGTACCTGTTCCAAACGGATGGGCCGGTGGTATATCTTGTAGACGGTAGTATAGGAATGTACTATATAGGATATCTATGTATATAAATGAATCCAGTGTGCGATGGAGACGAGTGGGCCGGACGAATGCAGTGCAATGTAAATGAGTGGGCCAGGGAGATGGGTGTGATGGAGACGAGTGGGCCAAGAGTACAGGGTACAATGGAGACGGGTGGGCCGAGGGTACAGGGTACAATGGAGACAGGTGGGCCGGGGGTATGGGGTGCACTAGAGTCCAGTGGGCCAGGGATATAGGTGCGATGGGGATGAGTGGGCCGGTATGTGGGGCACAATGGAAGACGAATGGGCCGGGGGGTAAAGCTCGATGATATCCCATCCGGTAGATGATGGAAATTTCTTCCAGTATGGAAGGCGAAGGTGAAATGGATGATACGGATGAACCAGAAGTGTTAAACGAATGGGCTGGAAGAGTTGGAGGGGCATGAAATGGATAATACGGATGAGCCGGATGGGGATGAAATGGATGATACAGATGAGACGGTAGTACATGAAATGGATGATACAGATGAGACGGCAGTACATGAAATGGGTGATACAGATGAGCCGGTGGTGAATGAAATGGATGATACAGATGAGCTGGTAGTGTTAAATGGACGAGCCGGATTGGGATGAAATGGATGATGCAGATGAGCCGGTAGTGTTAAACGGGCCGGATGGTGATGAAATGGATGATACAGATGAGCCGGTGGTGAATGAAATGGATGAGCCGGATGGGGATGAAATGGATGATACAGATGAGACGGTAGTACATGAAATGGAATGGGCCGAGGGGTGTGGTGGGATAAGAGGTGGGTAAGGGCATGCGGTGCATACAGAGTATACTAACCAGAGAAGAGTGGGCCAAGGGATGGGGGTGAAATATGAGGCAGGTCAATGTATCTGGTACATGCAGTGTACTAACCGGATACAAATTGGCCGAGGGATGGGACATGATATGGGTAGCACGATACCTTACCCGGTGCAGTGTATTCTAACCGGCAATGTACATCCGGGTCTATACCCATACAGTCCGTCCATGATAAATATCTGGTACGGCTCAATTATCCACCCAGCGCATTCAAAACCATCTCAATACGATAACCGAGTATACCAGATGTATATTTGAATGAGTACATAGAGTTGCGAAATATTTACACGGTCATATTTTGCATACTCCGTGCTCGGAGTCCCAACAAAATTGTGGATGCTGTCTCGCATGTACCACACAGTCACAATCCGGTTGCCCTCTTCCACATCCATGTAATGTCTCACCAGTTGACATGATGAAGCCAGCATTGAGCCAGAGTCATATAGAAACTTGATCCCGAGATTCATAAAGTCCATGATGACTGGGTGATAAATACCGGTGGTTGTCATGATATCAAATGCTGCCGGTCGACATTTGGGATCTCTACGAGGGGGTGACCGGCAATTGCATATGATCGATACCACATTAAAGACAGATGTCCAGCGTTGAAGATGATAGTGCATCTCGTCTAATTCATATCTGGCAGCCCATACACCCAGCCTGACTTGAGTTTCCATTCCGGCCCAATAAAGATCAGGGTGCATGACTCGAAGTGCAGCAGAGACGATGATACCGAACCTTTGAAGGGATATCGTAATGTTGTGACCGGCATCACCTTTCAGTGCCGCTGATACCTCTGGCGAGAAGCCATCTTCCGGGTCAAGATTCGGAAAGCCGTGTTTCTACAATACTTCATACAAGAGATTTCAATGCATGCCGACCGGACGCACCTCTCTTCCTTGCTGAAACCATGCAGGGGATATATTGATGCAACCAGGGGTGACCATCCCATCTGGACTAGATGAACTGTCTGCAAATTAGTTGACCAGAACAGATAAATGAGCTGGAATACCTACCGGTGTTAGAGTATGCAGTAGCCATCACATTGGTGAGCTGCTCCAAAGCAATGCAAGTGTCGATATCCAAGAGCCCAAGGTCCATATCCTTTACTGGTCGGTGAAGAATTGTAGACATGAAAATCTCATGAACCAATTCACCAGCAAGGTATGTCTGGTACAAGGCCCAGTCAACTGGAATTGTAACCATGGCTTGCCAATTCAATCAAGTGACAGGAAAGCACCACTGATATATCAATTGGAGAAAATAGCTCCACTTTCACATGACCTCTGATTTCATGGACAGACTTCATTTACATGCCGGTACACATGACATGATTGTATAATAGATTGGCCGGATACCAGCAGACATTAGGGTGCGCTTAACTGTTACTACATGGAGGCACTGTCATCTGTATTTAACCTGTCAATGAGTGCCTGTGAGGATGATACAGCCTGGGTGATTTCATCAATCGGCCCAACCAAGCTGGTCAACCGGTCACTTGAACGCCTAAGATTCACCATCCTTAGCTGCAACATGTCCAGCAACTCCCTCCCAATTTGTGTCCGGTGGCACAAACCAATTGTCTCCGGCAGATTATCCGGACCTTGTACAATATATGGGAGAAGGCCGGTCCTCACATGATCAGGCTGTCATGTATGGTGTTAGTATCTGGTGTTAAGAAGATCATATGGACTGACTGACCAGGTGTGAAAAGTGCCATGTAACCAAATCCATAACATCTTGGACAGATGACTTGGGCAACATATCTGAAACCCTGCAACAACCAAGTGGCTCCTTCCACCAGTCATTGAAGTAGTCCGGCATATGAGCAATATCATAGTCATCTGATTTGATTGAATCAGCAGAAATGCGCAATGCATGGATATCCTGCAAAATGGCATTAACATCCGGTCGCCGGTCCACCAAATTGTGTGCGGTCATGGTGGAGAGCACATCCTTGAGAAGTTGAGGAATAGTAGCGGACAACCGGGTAATAAAACATATGTTAATGAAAGGCGTTACAAAGGTCTATATGAAAGAGACAAAGATGAGGGTATGGGAGTGTCAGCATGGCTGGCCACCCACCTCCATCTCCCATTTCATCAGGGTGTAGAAAGCCTCTGCATAACCAGGCATGGCCAGGGAAAAACTCTTGTCAACATGCAGGCGCATGGCCAGCATCCGGGAATTGGCATAAAACAGTGCACGAGAGATATCTGCAGCTGTGATGTGATTGCCCTTGGTGGCAATGACTATTTGGTCAGAGGGGATGAGAGTTGTAGTATTGTTCATGGAGAGAAATGTGAGGCTATAGTGTGACCGACACACTAGGATTATTTATATGCCAACACACGCGTATATTACATAACAGGTATTATCAACAGGTAACTACAATTATGTAACTAACTGGTACCACCAACCATCTCAACTGGTACCGGTACTTGTAGCTGAACAATCATTTTGCGAAAAGAATCCTCTGCATGTGCCGCTAGTTGGTCATATATGTGAGATTGTCGGGCAGCATAACATGTATGTCCGGTGAGCCCTGCAGCAGTTGCATTGTGCATGTGACCGAGCCATTGCTTGGCTTGATGTTTAAAGAAATTAATTGACCACTGCATTTCATGTTTGACAATAATAACCTCCTCGTTCCACTGGTTGCACAGTGCTTTCATCCGGAGCCAATTAACCCGGTAAACTATTATTAGAACATGTGAGACCGGACAACCCGCTGTAACCGGAGGCACCGGACACTCACATTCTGTCATCCAATCATTTCTGGATGTGTCTCCCTGAACATCCAAGGACCAGAACCATGAAAGAGTGGTATCCCTTTGACCACGTGCATTTGGATCAGCCACTGCAGAGCTGGCCTTCAGGTCTTCTTTCTTCAAAGGAAGATATTTCTTCAAGAGGTCATGGTCAGGGAGCTTCGCCAACTGTGACCGGCATTTCAAATATATACTAGCATTGAGATTGACTGCTGTTTCCACTGAGCGAACTCGAGTCTATGCCCTAGTAGACGAAGCCTGTGACTTGGCTGATCGGACAGTATTGCGGAATATAACAGCTTTATCCCCTAAATGAACTCTAATGGCATGGAGTGCGTCATTGGCCTGGCCTTCTCGTAGGGCAATTTCTTCTTTCATGAGATTGGTGAGACCTAACTCCCTGCACCTCACTTCACCAATGTTGGATGGCAGAGGTATGACGGTGAGCTCCAGTTGAAATATGGAAGCATCGTGAATGTCCGGACCGGGATTTTGATCTTCGTCGATATCAGAGTAATCTTCATAATTATCATTGAGTGAATTGCGAACAATCACCGGAAACTCCGGGTCATTGACATCGACATCAACTCCAAGATAAGTAGGTGCCATCTCCAGAAAGCTCGTAATCTGAGTGTGAAGCTTATCCCGGCATCATGCCACTTTCAACAATTGCATATCTGTGGGGTGCATTCATAACCTTTTCACATCCCTGGAGAGAGATACTTGGGATTCCTCTATAGTGAGACCGGTTGCAAGCCAAGTGGCAGCTCCTCGTCGACTGGGGGGGTTGATGACTGGATGTTCAGGGCAATTTTGAGCCTGCAACAGGTGCAACTCCTGCTGTTTTCTTGTTGGAGCTGCACGACCATGTGATCAGACATGCTGGACAATCAATAACAGTAGACACTTGCCCCTTTCCAACCGGACCTCATAGATGTCCATAGCTGCAGGATCCTCCGCTCTGTTTGCATGAGCGAGTGCCTCCTCTTCCTTCCATATAATGACCATGTCAGGCTGGGCTGTCTCATTGAGATTATCAAACGCAAGTTTGCTCTCCGCAGCACCCTTGATAGCCTCTTTCAACTTCCTGGACAGAAACTTGGCTACCGGACATGCATTGTATGAGTACGGACAATATATGTACATGCGGAGGTTGGCAACTTACTTATATGAATCATTTTCATGAAGTTGCAATCATTCAACTGATAATCCAATACCTCCTTGCGATGAGGAGTTCCCATGCCCCTGGCCGATGGAGAGATTATATTCATAGGAGCCCAGAGGGTCTCCATGATCTCTCCATCTATCCTGCCGGTGCCATGGATGAAATTCGATGCATACCGGACAAAGCAGCTGTCTTGATGTCCATGGACATGCCACAAACCTATTCCGGGAATGATATCCATACCGATGGGGATGGAAAGATACATGCTTGAAGCGATCCGGTCCTTCAAATACTTGTTATACTGACAATTTATGTCATAGAATGTAATGGCGCGAGAGATTCCGTCTGTCTTATAGTTGAGCACTTGACTTAATGCATAGTCCATGTTCATCTGCCTGATCATTCCGGGTAAGAGTTGTAAGATCAGCCATTGATGTGACCAGATGCAATATGTACCAACCTTTCGCCTTTCTGAAAGTCCACCATCGAATGTGGGACGAAACATCCATGCTGTGCACATGCACATCCTCCTATACCAGTGGCCTCCAGCCTTTGCCGTGAGGCGTTTGCTTGGTTTACTGCTCGGTGATTATTGCAATCTGACCTTTGGACATGGTCTCAAGCAGTGGCTAAATGCCTCTTGTATCTTTCATTGGAGACCATGAATCCCAGGCCATCCATCAATGATACTTCATCGGATGGATTCACCGGATGCATGTGCTCCGCTTTGAAATTTCCATCCATGACCAAATATCTAGTCATGAGCCAGGAAGGCGTATCATCTGACTGGGCGACTGTACCGGTAGACAGGTCCAAGTTTATACCCGGTTGCGGACATGCGGGCAAAATAGGGCGAGATCGCCATCCTTTGGCTGGTCATCTTTGTGGGCAAATCCATGCCACTTGTAAAGCTTGCATTGTCGCCACTGCCTGGCAGCTCTCATGAGCTCTCTGTAGTGATCCTACGGATATCGTTCTTTAATGACCGGATGGTGAAATACCAAGTGAAACCCAGCTCACCGGAACCATTAGTGGAAAGATGCTCGATGTTAGTCTGCGAATTTTGCTGTAGTAATTCATGGCCGATGTACCGCTGTCTTAATAACCGAGGGTCTTATATAAATACGTGTAAGAATGTAATGACACCACAATTACACTGGATAAGACTTCTTGCCAGTCC